GTACCCCCTCCCCACCCCGCCCCCGTTCCCCCCAAATACCCTTTTAATAAGTGTTTTGCGAGTGTGCGCGTGTGCGCGTGCCTCAGATAGAGGGGGAAGATTAGGGCCCACAGGGCACTTTGGGCAGTTTCCACGAGCGCACGTGTATCTGCGACAATCGCTTTCAACATTACATGCCTGTGTATGTGTGTGTGTGTGTGTGTGTGTGTGTGTGTGTGTGTGTGTGTGTGTGTGTGTGTGTGTGTGTGTGTGTGTGTGTGTGTGTGTGTGTGTGTGTGTGTGTGTGTGTGTGTGTGTGTGTGTGTGTGTGTGTGTGTGTGTGTGTGTGTTTGGGTGTTTTCAGACGGGCTTTCTCGCCGCGCTGCTGGAGGAAGTGATTTGTCACGGCACCCTCCGCTCAACAACAAGCAGGTGCGGTGGACAGCACGTGTGGCCTCTCATCGCCTTTTCGTTCAGCCTTGCCCGCATACAGACAGACAGACAGACATTCACATTGACATCATATCATGTCACATCACACACACACACACACACGCACACACACACACCATTCAAATCACTCATGACATGACATCACACCATGTATTGCCCCTGCAGCCTGCAGTCGTACTGGCTGCCGACGCTGCTGGATGACGCAGCGCGAACAGCACTTGAGGACATTGTGGCGGCGGCGAGCGCAGATGACACGAGCAAAACGCGTGGTGGTGGGTTGTGGAGCAGCATGTGGGGCAGTCACAAGTTCTAACACAATGGCACATGTGCATGTGTGTGTTTGTGGATTGGTGTGCAAGTGTGTGCATGTGTTATGTTTGTAAGTGCGTGTGGATTGGTGTGCAAGTAAGTGTGTACATGTGTGTGTGTGTTTGTAAGTGCGTGTGCGTGTGCGTGTTCGTGTAATCAAAGACTCTGTTTGTGGCCCAAATGAGTACAAAGACACAGCGTGATTTTGATGTGACAGCAGTCACTTTACTGTTTCAGCTATTCGTGACAAACAAGAAGTGAGGGGAGCTCCTAGACGGAGGGTCAGTTACAATAGCAAGGCAGGAGGGGCAGATGGAAGAGGGAAGACACAGACACAGACACAGACGCAGACACAGACACACACACACACACACAGACACAGACACACACAGACACAGACACACACACACACCCACACACAACATACGTCAGTTGATCTGGGCGCTGAGAACGCTGCGGTGCACCTGCGCAGATGTTCCCCGACTCCCGTCTGCAGTGTTCGATGATGAAGGCGATGGTGGCGATGATGATGAGAGTGATGGAAGGAAGCGCGAGCAGCACTGAAGCATCAGCAACGCTGGTGAGAACAAACAAGAACAACAACATCGTCGTCATCAGCACCATCACCATCACCTTGTTGCCGGGTGCGGTGGCGCGCTTCAATCCGCACTGCCGTCGCCGTCTGCGCGCGTGTCAACTCCGCCGGCACCGGTGCATCGTCCTGCAGCCACCATCATGGTGGTGGTTGAGTAGAGGTGGTGGTGGTGGTGGTTGAGTTGAGGTGGTGGTGGTGGTGGTGGTTGAGTTGAGGTGGTGGTGGTGGTTGAGTAGAGGTGGTGGTGGTGGTGGTTGAGTAGAGGTGGTGGTGGTGGTTGAGTAGAGGTACGGCGAGGGAAGTGGTGGTGCCATCGTGCGTAATGTGTCATCACGAGACAGGAAGCAACAACCTTCGAAACAAGCCACAAACCACACAGGGATACAGAGACAGTACAGGCGCACACATTCACAAAAACATTCTGTCGCGTGTGCGTCACCTCGACAAGGCCCTGGTCTGTGATTCGATATGCGATGGAGGAGGAGGCGACGAGAGGCGACTTGATCACGCTCAGGAACCTGATGCAACATTAACATGCACGCAGGTAGCCATGAAACATCGTGGCCAGGTCTGAACAGCAAAAGTGCAAAAGAACACAGCTGGGGAAACAATTGCAAATGGAGCGGGAGACGCGTGCATGTGAGATGCGTGTCGAAGACTACACATGTAATGCAGCACCTGAGTGCGTCGCTGGGCGCAAAGTTGACGGTGAGCCGTGTGTTAACGCTGTTGGTGCAAGTGGAAGGGGGCGGGCGAGGGCGCGTGTGAGTTGAGAGTCTCTAAGAACGGAATGATGACAAAAACGCAACACACACACACACATGAATCGAGACAGGCAGGGTCCATTCCAAACACACACACACACACACACACACACACACATGTGTACGTATGAACACCAACCTGTGTGCCCAGGTGTTGCCAAGAGCTGCAGTGACAAAGGCGTCGCCTACGAATAAATGCCAGTCAGGAAAACGTGTCAGCATCACACACACATACAGACACACACACACACACACATAGACACACACAGAGACATGCGCAGACACAAAGCACACGGATGTACTGTCAAAGCTGTGCCCACCTCCTTGGTTGTCGTCAAAGCGTGTTGTGACCTGGTTTGTCACCAGCACCTGTCGCGAATGTGTCGTGTGTTGATGAGATGTTCGCGGAACAAAATGCTCAACTGTATGAACGACATATCCTCCACACACACACACACACACACACACACACACACACACACACACACACACACACACACACACACACACACACACACACACACACACACACACACACACGCGCGCGCGCGCGCGCGCGCGTGCGCGCGTACGAGCAGGCAGCCGTACGGGAATGGCGTATGTCTGAGCCCAGCGCTTGAGGAGGGTTGCTTCGCGGGCGAGCACGTCACGCCGCTCCTGCTGGTTGCCTTGATACTCCTGCCATGGGGGAGGGGGAGAGACACGGTGGTGGGGGCATGAAGGACCTCGGAGGAAGAGGAGGAGGAGGAGAGAGAGAGGGAACGAGAGGGAACGAGAGGGAAGGGGAGAGGGAGACGGATCTACGCACACATGCGCCACAACCGGTTCACAAGCAAACACACGCATGCAGAGACAGACAGACAGACAGAAAGAAAGAAAGAAAGAAAGACAGACAGACAGACAGACAGAAAGAAAGAAAGAAAGAAAGACAGACAGACAGACAGACACACACACACACACACAGACAGACAGACAGACAGACAGACACACACACAGACACACATCTTCACCTTTCTGAGGAGGGAGGCGGCAGAATCGAGGATGACGAGCCGAGCCTTCATCTCAACGATGCGAACATCCAATGTTTCCAACCTACAACGACACACGTGGTCGCACAGTACGTGGCCACACATTCGTTACACAGGCGCACGTAGAAACAACACAAACCACGCACGGGCTGAAACCACCGCCCAGACGCACACCTGCATCATGACAAGCACACATGTAAGACAACGCCACGCACATGCACATGCATGCACAAGTGCACGTGTGCACACAGTGTCAAGGAGCAGCTGGCTTACACCCTGAGTAGTTCCGCGGACGTCTTGGTTGTGATGACCTGGATGCGTTTGGACATGTCCACAAGCGCCTCGTTTGTTGCCAGCTGCACTGGAAATCGCTGGCTCGCCATCGCCACCAGCCTGCAGCCCAAGGGTGATGTGGCGCGCATGGGTCAGAGCAAGCGTGGCGGAGGTGCTGACATCTACACCAGCGTACGCAGACACAGGGATAGACGGACACAAACAGACAGACACACACAGACAGACACAAACAGGCACACATATGTTCACACACATCGTGTTCACACACAGACACAGACACATACACAGACACGCACACGCACACAGACACACACACAGACACATACACAGACACGCACACGCACACACACAGACACACGCACACACAGACGCCCACCCCACACCGTTTGTTGGAGAACGAGCCCTCTGTGTCGAGGTAGAGAACACCGCCGGGTTCATGGCCGTTGACGCCAACAGCCGCCACGCTCGTCATCATCATGCAGAACTGCGTTTTGCCACACCCAGACGGGCCAGCCACCTGCACGGCACACCAGAGAACACACGCACCGTCACCATACATCTTTGAGCAACAAACAACTCCAAACTGCAATGCTGTTCGCAACGTGATGCCGAGCACGCTTGGGCGCCGTTGTGATGTGTTCAAAGAGATGACTGCATAGCTCCTTCGTGCGTGTGTGTGTGTGTGTGCATCCACCTCGGTGATCATGCCAATGGGGAGGCCTCCAGCCAAGTTGCGATCCAGTGTCGGCAGCGTTGTAGGCAGAAAACGCTTTCGCTCCTCCAGCATTTCCAGTACCTAGAGCAGTGGGTTGTGAATGGTGTCCGTGACAGCCCAGGCGGCAAGAAACAACAACATCAGCAGTTACTGAAACAGCGGCAGCAAACACGGTCGTGGCAGTGCGCAGAGTCCAGGAGCAGATGCCCATCATGTCACCGCACTGCAACGCAACACAACAAGACAACAAGATGGGGTGCGGTACCGTTTGGGGTTCAGGTGCGACGGCTTTGGTGCAAGCGTCAATCAAATGCGTTGCTTCGTCGTATGCAATGCCCAGATCCAGCAGCTCCAAGATGTTCAGCACAAGCACATCCTGGAATTGCGTTGCGTTTGGTGAGTGGAGAGATGATAAACAGTGGCCTTGGGGAGTTGGGGAAGGGGTTTTCAGAGACGGGGTGCTGGATGCATGCAAACGGGAACAGAGTTGCAGACCGAGAGGGGAAAAAGAGGAGGGAAAAAGGGCTGACAAACACACACACACACAGACTACACACACAGACACAGACAGACACAGACAGACACAGACACAGACACAGGCACAAACACAGACACAAACACAGATACAGACACAGACACACACACACACACACACACAGACACACACACACACACAAACACACACACACACACACACAGACACAGACACACACAGACACAGACACACATCTCTCCCTCCCGCCACCCACCGCGACTGTTGTGATCTTCTTTGACGCGAGGAAGGAGGTCACTGGCTCGCGCAGGCTAGCCACCCGTCGCAGTGGTCGCCTCGCAGACATGTTCCCGCGTTTCCGCCACAACCTGTCCTGCCTGTTGCTGAATTTTTGCAAATGTCTTCATATACTCTTCCGTAACCGCTGCTGCTGCCATAACAGCAAGTGTTTTTCGCGCGCCCACCACCACCTTCCTGCCAAGCATCAACCACCACATCATTCAACTGACCATCCTGCAAGCAGAGCAGACCAGCCATCTGTCGATCTCATCGTGGAGTTACAGGATCGCGAAGGCGAAGCGTGACACGGATAGCAGAGAACCGTGGCTGGGTGTCTCTGTGTCAGTTATTTATCCTGGTGTCCTGCATTTCCTTGTGTCTTCGTGTGATGATGGCGTCTTTACGGGATGTGAGCCGCACCACCGTGCATCCAGCCATCGCTGCGCTGCAAAAGGAGCTGACACAGGCTGCCAAAGAGCCCTTGTTTCGCGTTCAAGAGTCCACCTTCTCCAACCGAGATCTCGAGTGAGCGCTCGACAGGCTGCACAGTGTGTCGTGTCGTGTTGTGTTGTGTTGTGTTGTGTTGTGTTGTGTTGTGTTGTGTTGTGTTGTGTTGTGTTGTGTTGTGTTGTGTTGTGTTGTGTTGTGTTGTGTTGTGTTGTGTTGTGTTGTGTTGTGTTGTGTTGTGTTGTGTTGTGTTGTGTTGTGTTGTGTTGTGTTGTGTTGTGTTGTGTTGTGTTGTGTTGTGTTGTGTTGTGTTGTGTTGTGTTGTGTTGTGTTGTGTTGTGTTGTACGTTGTGTTGTACGTTGTGTTGTACGTTGTGAGCGCATTAGACTTTCGCGAAACAGACCTGCAGCGTGCATCGTACTCACGGCAACAACACACTTCATACGCCATTCACGCATCGCATTGCCCGACTCCCACATGTCAGGCGATACCGCAACCTGAAGCTGTATGAGAAGCGGCATGATAGACGGGACATGAAGAAGAACTTGCTGTTCTACTCCAACAAGATCAAATCCAGTCCGTACGGCGACAAGATCGACACGATTCACAGGTTGCTGAGGGAAGCTGGGTTTTCTCTCTTGCCTGTGCATGGTGCTTTTCTTTCGCTGTCATGGACGAGCATGACGACAAGCTGCACCCAGTTCACACACACACACACACACACACACACACACACACACACACACACACACACACACACACACACACACACACACACACACACACACAATGGCGCGCACCATCGTGTGGTGTCACATCTGTTTGGCAGGGTGTGGTGCAACCAGTTTGATAAGTTGGAGGAACACCACGGCTACATCCAGTGGCTGTTTCCCATTCACGAGAAAGGCATGGCCTTTGAATCGCAGGTGTTGCAAGTACACGAGCGCGAGGCAATCAAATCACAGCCAAAGCTCATCACCAGGTGCGTTGCGTGTGTGTGTGTGTTTGTGTGTATGCGTGTGTATTTGTGTGCTTGTGTATGTCGTGTGTATTTTCGCTTGCTTGCTCGGTTTCGTGGTCGAACCATTTCGTCTCGTGCTGCTGCTGCTGCTGCTGCTCTTACTCCTACTACTGCTGCCGTGGTTTAGGTTTATCAAGTCGTACAAGATGATGCTCAAATTTTACGGCTTTCGCCTCGTCGACACGTACGTGGGTGGTGTTCAGTGTGTGCAGTGTGGTGCGAGATGCGATGCGATCGTGTTTGCATGAATGCCTTCTGTCCATTGCGCTTTTTGTGTGCGCGTGCATGTATTTTGCGTGTGTGCATGTGCGCATGTGTGTGCGTGTGCGTGTGTGCATGTGTGCGCGCGGGTGTGTGTGTGTTTGCGACACTGCAAGCTGTGCACTTCTTGTGCTTGTTGATCCCGCGTCACAACGTCACTTCGTCACCACGTCACCTCTTTGCCGCGTTATGTCTCAACCATCCTTGCGGGTGCAGGGAGACTGGTGAGATTGCGCTGAATGAGAAGGCCTCGAAGCGCCACGACAACTTGAACCACCGCTATCACAACTATCTCCGCATCACGCGCATTCTGAAGAGCCTGGGCCTGTTTGGGCTGCCCCACTACCAGTCGGCGTTTATGGCCGGCATGTTGCGCGCCATGATCACCCACCATCTCTTTCCAAACGCGAGATCAAGGTGTGTGGCTGTGAGCGTGAGTGAGTGGGTGTGTGCGCGAGTGAGTGAGTGAGTGAGTGAGTGAGTGAGTGAGTGAGTGAGTGAGTGAGTGAGTGAGTGAGTGAGTGAGTAAGTGAGTGAGTGAATAAGTGTGTGAGTGAATAAGTGACTGTGGCTGTGACTGTGAGAGTGTGAGTATGAGTGTGATTAAGAGTTGCGTGTGCTTGTGTGGCTTGTTGTGCGAGCGCGCCGCTTCCTGTGAGCTGTTAGCCTGATGCTTCAGCATTCCGTTGCTTGTGCTGGTCCGCATGCCGTTTCGTGATCATCTCTTGCCTCACGGTTTGTCTGTCACAACCTCCGTTTTCGCCCTTTCTGTCACCCCTTCACCCCTTGTCCCTCCCTTATCCGTTCTCTCTTGCCACAGTTGTGCAGGCTTCTGGGTGAATGCAGTGCTGAACGACGCGGACCGGGCGGCGCTGCAGCAAGTGATCACAGACCACAGCCGCGCGCCCAGCGCTCCGGCCTCACGCACCGTCTCGGACGCCCTGCTCATGGACTCGCTGGACATGTACGGGTTTGCCACGGACGACGACGACGACGACAGCGATGATGATGACGATGCGGAAGCAAACGGAGGCGAGGAGACACACGAAGAAGGGAAGCTGAAGCATGCAAAGGAAGGGCCCGAGGACGACGAGGCCATCAGCGGCGGAGATGGTGTCGCCAGCGTGCACAAGCCGGGCGCAGCAAGCATGTCCAAGTACAGCCCGCAGGCGACGCGCCTGTCAAAGGCGCCCAAGTTTTCCACCGAGGGCGGTGACGGCGATGACGGCAATGACGGCGCACGCACGAGTGACGACCGCTGTACCGAGGATGAGGATGTGGAGGCCGAGGGTGGTGTGGAGTGTGATGTGGAGGATGAGCGCGGCGACAACCAGAGCGCCAACCAGAGCGACAACCAGAGCGACAACCAGAGCGACAACCAGAGCGCCAACCAGAGCGACAACCAGAGCGACAACCAGAGCGACGACGATGACGATGAAGCTTGAGTGGGTGGCTTCGTGATGGCTTGAATATTGGTGTAAGATGTCTCATAAATTTCCGCAACCGCATCCTGAACAAGCGAAAAAGCGAAGAAGAAGGAAGTGAAGCAACAAACAGCAAGCAGGACGCAATTGCGCCATAAACACCACCACGCCACACACCACACACACACACACACACACACACACGCATAGACTCTCATCCCGCACGCACGCTTCCACAACGACCACCTGCTTCCCCCTCCCCATCCAAACCATCCAAGTAAACACGCACACACACACACAATGGCTGAGAAGCGGGATGAAAGCAGCGGCGTGCTGCAGACGGTGGCCATGGAGCAGAAGAGCCAGCTGCTGGTGGACTCCAACCCAGAGGTGACAAAGCAGATGGTGTCCACGAGCGCCGTGCACCGCATGAACGACCCCAACGACCTGGTCACGCTCGCCCAATACGTGCAGACCGCAGACGACTTCACAAAGGCCACGGTGGGCGGGAAGCTGGAGCTCATCGCAGACCAGATTAAGGCATTGCAGGACCAGGCGCGGCAGGTGCTCGAGTCTGCAAAACGCGACGTCGAGCTGAACCACGCCAAGTGCAACTTCCGCCGCATCCCAGGCAAGGTGTACCACCTCTTCCGCAAGGAGAGCGACGGCTCTACATACTTCTCCATGCTGTCCCCCGAGGAGTGGGGCGACCGCGCCACAGACACATTCATCGACTCGTATCGCCTGGAGTACGACATGAGCTGGACCCCGCTCTCCAAGATCCAGGAGCGCGACGAGCGTCGCCGACTGGACGCACAGCTCCTCGGTGTCGACCGTGAGCAGGCAAAGCAGCTCTCCCTCGAGTGCTAGCCAATGTGTATGTGTGCTTGTGTGTGCTTGTGTGTGCTTGTGTGCTTGTGTGTGTGTGCCCGTGTGTGTGCTTGTGTGCACGTGTGTGCACGTGTGTGTGTGCACGTGTGTGTGTGTGTGCACGTGTGTGCACGCGTGTGCACGTGTACTCGTGTTTGTGTGCACGTGTGTATGTACTTGTGTATGTATGTCTTCACGCGTATGTACGTGTGTGTATGTGTGTGTTCTTGTTTGTGTACTTGTGTGCTTGTGTCCGTATGTGCTCGTCTCCCCTTCTCCTTTACACGGGTACGCCTTGCTTGTGAGTGTGGATAGGCAGCTTAGTAGTACGTGACGTGATTGATGGCGTGCTTGTGATGTGTAGTTGTTTGCTGGCTCACGCGCCAGTTGCAGTTTGGCTCTTTTTGTTTCAGTGTGCGTCCTTGGTTCACATTCACGTCAGTTTGGTTCGTTCAGTCTCAGATACATATAAACAACCCCGTCACCATGTCATCACAACCGCACCACCACCACCACCACGACCATGAGTGTGACGGCTATGGACAAGCGAGCTAGAGCAGAGGCAGCCAAATGCGCACACGCACACACGCACATAGACACAGGCGCACAGACAGACAGACACACACACACAGACAGACGCACAGACACACAGACGCACAGACACACAGACAGACGGACACAGACAGACGCACAGACACACAGACGCACAGACACACAGACGCACAGACAGACGGACACACACACACACACACACACACAGACGCACACACACACGCACACAACATCAAGAGGAGCTTGTGTGGGTGTCGGTGGTGGTGAGGCCGAGAATCTTCAAGCATGTGTCTGCGTACTCCCTAAAGATGGCGACGTTGGCCATGGCCTTCTGTACTTCCCGCGCAGGCGCCCGTGCGGTGCTCACGCGCTTCAGGGTGGCCTGCAGGTGCGGGTTGGCCAGCTGTGCTCGCACCTCCTTGGTGGCAGACAGAAGGTCCAACAGCTGCCCCGGCACCTGGTCATCCTCGGTGATGGTCGGTGCTTGCTCGCCACGTTCCCCGCCAGCGTTTGCCACTGCACCTGGCTCGGTGCTGGGCGCAGGCTCGCAAGGCACCTGCTTGTGCTGCTTGTAGCACTTGAGAGAGCAGTAGCGCAGTTCACACCGTGGGCACTTGTACTTTGGATTCTCCTCCGTGCACACGCCGCACAGCCGTGCCTGCTGCTGGTGTGGTTGCTTACTGTGTTGCGGCTGTCTCTGTTGTGGCAGTTGTTGTTGTTGCTTCTGCTGCTGTTGCGGTCGTTGGTGAGGTGTTGTGGGCTTGGCGCTTGTCGATCGCTGTTGTTGTTGTTGTTGTTGTTGTTGTTGTTGTTGTTGTTGTTGTTGTTGTTGTTGTTGTTGTTGTTGTTGCTGCTGCTGCTGCAGCTGTTGTTGTTGTTGTTGTTGTTGCTGCTGCTGTTGTTGCTGCTGTGGCGTGGATGTGCCATGTGCACTTGCGAGCCGCTTGTTGACGCAGTCTGTCTTGATCGTGTCGACAACTGCCTCTGTGGTCTCCTCTTTCATTTTGGCTTGGTCGTCCTGTGATTGCTGGTCCACACCCACTTGCCTGTGGCTGGATTGCCGCGCACGCTTGGTCGCGGGTTCCTCATCGTAGCACTGCTGCCGTACCTGTTGTTGCAGCTGTTGTTGTTGTTGTTGCTGTTTCTGCTGTTTCTGCTCACCCTTTGCCTCCACGTCTTGTGCTTGCTCTTGGTCTTGTGCTTGCCCTTGCGCCTGATCTTCCGGCCCTTGAGCTTGTCCCTGATCTTGTGGCTTCTTGTCCTTGCGCGCGGGATGGTCGTGGTGCTTGGCGCTGCCCGTGATGGCTGGGTTGAGCGTGAGCGATGACGACTGCCACGGCTGCACCACGTGCTCTGCATCATCGCCACCACCTTGATTTCTCCTGTGGAAGCGGCCTCCTCCCCTTCCGCCCCTTCCCCTGCCTCTTCCGCGATGTCCACGCCCCCTGTATCCACCTCTACGTCCTCCACGCTGCCCTCTTCCTCCCCTGCCCCTGCCCCTGCCCCTGCCTCTGCCTCTGCCTCTCCCTCTGCCTCTCCCACCACGTTGCTGCTGCCGTGGCGAGCACGTTGCGCTGGCGGCTTCCATATCTTCGTGTGTCGCCTGTCGCACGTATTTTGAGAAGGAAAACGAGAGGAAGGACACAAGACCGCCAACAACGCACAGATACCCAGCAGCGCACACCCACGCAACGCACATCGTCGCTTCAGACTGCTGGCCATCTTGCGGGATGGGCGTTGGTGTATCGCTTGGGCGCAATGCTTTCCCAGCACGAGACGCCATCGCGTTGCTTTGCAGCGAGGAGAAGGTGCCGTGTGAATGCCAGTGTGTTGTGCGTGTGCGTGTGTGTGTGTGTGCTTCAAGTGTGTTGAGTTGAACATGAAACTGACATGAATATGCTTGAGATGGACGATGCCCCTCCCAACACGCATACACACCCACACACGCACGCACACACACACACACACACACACACACACACACACGCATACGCACACACACACACACACACACACGCATATGCACACACACGCATACGCACACACACGCATACGCACACACACACTCACTCATTCACACACTCTCTCACACACTCTCACACTAACTCACTCTCTTTCTGTCTCTTTACACACTCTCCCTCGCTTCGCATACGCACCAACATCCCTTTGTGTAGGTCTCACGCGACAAAGAGGATGACGAAAGCGGTGTCTTCCAGCAGATCTTGGATAGCCAGTTTGGTGTCGCAACATCACAGTACGTCTGATCGCCTGCGGCTTGCTCATCACAATTCACACATCAACTCAATCACACAAGGCACACAAGCAAGCCGCTCAAATACCCCCATTGCACGCTCACCTCGCTACATGCCCATTGGCGCCACCGCAGGAGGGATGTGGACACAATTGAACACATTGCACTGCCACTGTGTCTGCGGCTTATGAAGAACAACTTGTGGACCAACAACTTCTCCACCTTCCTCGACGCAACCCTCAAGGCTCTCAACACTGCACTTGCCAAACCCGTCGATGCCATTACACCGTGCGTGCCCGTGTTTGTCGCAGCAGTCAGAGGAGGAGGAGGAGGAGGAGGAGGTGGAGGTGGAGGAGGTGGAGGACGAGGTGGTGGTGGCGGCGGTGGCGGCGGTGGTGGTGAACATGGTCATGTCTTCTTGCCAGTGTAGCTTGGTCCTGGTTCATAGTTCAGCACCTCACCAGGAACTGCTTGCTGTGACCTGTTCACGTATTTGATACTCGCAGGTACCAAGTGCAGACGGCAGCATCTGCGCTGTTCGTCACGCGTATCGCCCTCCGACACATCATCGCCAGCCACAAAGGAGCAGGCTTTCTCACGCAGGTGTGTTTTGTGTTGTGTGTTTTGTGTTGTGTGTTTTGTGTTGTGTGTGAGTGTGTGAGTATGTGCAGTGGAATGTGTATGTGTGAATGTGTATGTGTGAATGTGTATGTGTGTGAGTGTGTGTGTGAGTATGTGTGTGTGTGTGTGAGTGAGTATGCGTGTGTGTGTGTGTGTGTGTGTGTGAGTGCTTGCCCGTGTTCACGCGCTCAGCATTAACCCCCTTTTTCTTCTTTTTCATCATCATCATCATCATCATCATCATCATCATCATCATCATCATCATCATCATCATCATCATCATCATCATCATCATCATCATCATCATCATCATCATCATCATCATCATCATCATCATCATCATCATCATCATCATCATCATCACCATCATCATCATCATCATCGTCATCATCATCATCATCATCATCATCATCATCATCATCATGGCACCGTCCTTCTAGATTGAGGGCGATGCGGACACCGCGCGCGATGCGTTCCAAGTCATGATGCGCTCTGCACGTGCCACAGTCCCAACACCCGCACCAACTGCAGCACCCGCTACAACACCTGCCACAGCCTTAATGCAGAGCGCACACGCTTCCCAGCACCAACAGCAACAGAAAACACAGCCCATGCCATCTGAGCAGCACGTACCACCTCACCCACAGCAGCCACACGCGCGCCCACGCCCACGATATCGCAGCGTGGAGCTCATCAACTGCCTCACAGCGTTGCTTGCAGGCAAGCTCACGACACAGACACTGCTCCTGCATTTGGAGGCCGTGAGCAGCGCGCTTGTGCTGGCATCGCCGCAGCTGTACGAAGGCCCGCAACCCCAGCCGTTTGCCATGGTTACACGCATGGTGGTGGACGAGGGCGTGGCGCAGGATGTCTTTGCCGGTTTGCACGCGGTGCTGTTGGACATGCGGTCCGCCGACGCCAATGCAGACAGGGAGGACCTCCTCCGTGACCTCGCCAACCTCTTCGCCCTCCCTTTTCACGTGTGTCAGTTGGGGTGGCATTGTGTGTGTATGTGTGTGTATGCATGTGTGTATGTGTGTGTATGTGTGTGTATGTATGTGTGTATGTGTGTATGTGTGTGTGTGTGCGTGTGTGTGCGTGTGTGTGCGTGTGCGTGCGTCTTGTCCACAGTGCTGATCGTGATTTTTGCTTGTACGTGTGTTCAGATGCTACGATCGCCGGATGCGACGCAGGAAATCTCCACTGCCGCCTGGCCGCAGCTCGAGGTGAGGCGCACACACACACAGAGATAGAGAGCCGGACAGATAGCTAGAGAAATGGACACACACACACACACACACACACACACACACACACACACACACAGACGGACACGCACACACACACTACATGAATGCTTCTTATCGTTGCTGCGTGTGCATCATGTGCAGATGCGAACAATGCTGCTGATTCTTGTGTTGTGGCACCACCTCCCTCCAAAAGGTTCGTCGTACACACTGGTCCGCAAGCAGTGCAACGGCTTGCTTTCCACTTGCTTGCATGTGTTCCAACAACTTGGTGCCATCTCCCTCGCTAGTTCGTTCAACACACACACACACACACACACACACACACACACACACACACACACACACACACACACACACACACACACACACACACACACACACACACACACACCACTTGCCGACACCATCAGCTGCTGGCGCCTCGAATCGCTTCCGCGCCGCTCTCTCGACGGCCAAACACACGCGCGTGGATGACGAGGAGGCCGTCGTTGCCCCGTCATCAACATCAACGCCAGCATCAACATCGGCATCAACGTCAACATCAGCATCAACATCAACAACACAGTCATTGGGCACGAAGCAGCAGGGAGCACATGTATCGTCATTGCAAGCATCATCATCGTCGTCGCAATCGTCGTGGTGGTTCTCGTGGCGCCAGTCAGCAGCAACAACGGCAACAACGACAGCAGTTGAGGGCGATGCGAACACAGCGACGACCAGAACGACAACAACGACAACGATGACAACAACAGGCAGTGCCCACACCAACGGCGCACATGTCAACGGCACAGCACCACGAGCACGACGACCACCACCGTCATCATCATCACAATCATCAGCACATGATGGTGATGGGATTGGAGCCTTGGTGCCGGTCCGAGTGTCGTTCAAACTGCTCGCTGACATCATTGTCAGGTATGTTTGATGCAGCAGCAAGTCATGCAGGGGGAGGTGAAAGGGGAGAGGGGCATACGCAGGTTTGTGTATGTGGTGGGGAGGAGGTACCGTTGGGTGCATAATTGGCAGAGGGTGGGATGAGCCGCAGATGACACGCGTATGTCTCTGTCTCTGGTTTCCCCTTCTTTCTCACGATACTTGGAGGTGGGATTGCATGGCAGGAGTGTTGCGAAGGAGGTGGGGTCACTGTTTACGTACCACTGGCTCTACCACAACACGAACTTTCGCGCGTTCTTTCTCTCGCAGGACGCCGCTCTCCGCCAATTTGTACGTCGGCGGATGGATTTGTGATGCTGTGTCGCGTTTTGTGCGTGCGTGCGTGCATATGCGTGTGTGTATGCGCGTTTTGTGCGCGTGCGTGTACGTGCGTGCTTGCATGCGTGCATGCGTGTGCGTGCGTGTGTGTATGTGTGTGTGTGTGTGCGTGTGCATGAATGTTCGCTGTATCTCACCACCCTTTCATCTCCGCTTTCCACCACCATCGTCTCACGTACCGCCACCACCAACCCCGCGAGCAGCTGTTGGAGTGCATGCGAGCGGTGAACGGCGACGAGTGCAGCACCGATCACGCCACGACCATCACGGCCATCCTCCTCATCCTCAGCGCAGACACACACACGCACCGCTGCCTGGTTGCCGAGCACGTGGGGGAGGATGCGCCATGGCACACGGAGCGAGACATGGAGGCAGCTGACTTGGCCAGTCTGCTCGTCAGCGTTCTTCTCAAGTGCATCAACCACAACTGGCGCGTCGAGCGGGTATGCGCATGGGCAGGGAAGGGCTGTTTGCTAGTGTTTGCTTGTGCTTGCTTGTGTTTTGTGTTTTGTGTTTGTGTGTGTGCGTGTGTGATTGTGTGTGTCAATGCATGTTCACGTCATGACAAGTTTTCAATCACACACACACACACACACACACACACACACACACACACACACACACACACACACACACACACACACACACACACACACACACACCAGGACGAGGTGCTTCATCGCGACATACTGGCGCTGCTCTGCAACGTCGCCCCTCACCTGCAGCGCTTGGACCTGTACGTGTGTCAGCGTCTCATCAGGTCTGTGGCACCAACATACACACATTGCAAACACAGACACGCATGCATGCAGTGCATGCCAACGCATGCACACCCACCCATGCAACGCAGAGCAAGAACCACAAGCATGCATGTGTTGAATGGGCGTGGCTTGGCGTCACGCACACATCTGCAGCTGCTTGAATTCATCTTCATCTCAGTTCACCCCACCAACACCAATACCATCGCCACCACTGTTTTCAGATTGCTACACGCGCTCATTCGTCAGTTCTTTCGACTGCGGACAGACTTGGACATCACGTCCACACAGGACGTGCGTGTGTGCTTTTTGCATGCGTGTGGTGGTTGATGTGCGAATATGCTTGCTTGCTTGCTTGCTTGTGTGTGTGTGTGTGTGTGTGTGTGTGTGTGTGTGTGTGTGTGTGTGTGCAAATTGTGGTGTGTCGCGAGCTGACACAACCATACCATATCATCGTGGCTGTCGTGGCCGCCGTTCCTGTCGCTGTTGCGTGCTGTTTGACTTCAGGGTGTGGAAGAGTTGCAGGAGACAATTCGATTCATCCACGTGCTCCTCCGCTTCATCAACACCGTCGTTGCATCCCAGTACGTTCCAGTCGGATGTGTTGCGTGTTGATGTGTTGGCGTGTTGGCGTATGGCTCGGGTCTTGTTGCGCTTCGAATCACGCCTGCGCCCTCTGAGCGTTTCTCACGTACACACACACACACACACACACACACACACACACACACACACACACACACACACACACACAAACACACACACACACACACCACGACCACCAGCGTGACGACGAATGCAGATATGATGTACACGCTCCTGATCAACAAGCAGGACATTGCCGGACTGCGCCGCCAAAACCTCTTCTCCCCTGAAATTGACAACATTCACTCTGTACGTTCAGAAATTGTGTCAAGTGGCTGCATTCGATGTGTGTGTGTGTGTGTGTGTGTGTGTGTGGCTAACTACAGATAATGTCACGCGCGAATGTCCTCAATCAATCACAGGCCATCGTGTACTGCGAAGCAAAGCTGTCTCAAACGCGCCACCGAACCCCACACAGGTGATGCTGTGTTGTGTCGTGCGCGTTGTGCCGTCTCTTCATCATGTTGAAGTGTAACATGTCGTTGGTGTCTTTCATCACGTACAACGACATGCATTCAACGACTCACCTCACGCTACCACACGTTTCATCCCATCCTCCACCCCCACATGTTCACCCCATGCGCATTCCTTGAAACAGTACGTCACGCGTGCAGCAGGATCTGGAGGCAGCCGTGGCGAAATTCCCCACCGACCTCTTGCAGGTGATGATGATGGTTGTGGTGGTGGTGGTTGTGAATGTTGCTGAGGGGGAGGGTATGGCGGTGACTGAGGGATGATAGTGCACGATGTCGAGTGGCATAGCACAAAACAACGCCACTCATCAACTCCATAACCGTTTCTTGCACTGCTCTGTGTTTAATTTAACATCGACGCAACGCAACACTGCCACCCCCATTGGATCGGTGCAGCACCCGCGCCCCACGCGCTACGTGTACGAAGAAGACTCCAGCGAGAGCAGTCGACTGCGGCAGCGGCAGCGCGTCTGGCGGTGTGTCATCAAGCACGCAAACATCTTTCCCCTCGACCACGGATACCCCTTCTTGCACGAAGCAGAATAGCACCAGCATGTGTGTGTGTGTGTGTGTGTGTGTGTGTGTGTGTGTGTGTGTGTGTGTGTGTGTGTGTGTGTGTGTGTGTGTGTGTGTGTGTGTGTGTGTGTGTGTGTGTGTGTGCTGTGAATTATCGTGTCTCTCCTGGCTCTGTTTATCTCCCTCAAGCAACCCCCTTTCCCCCAAATCAGCCCTCGCGCACATGTCGTCGTCGTCGCTCGGCCATTCGTTTGTATTTGTGATAGGATTGGTTGTTTCTTGAAATGCACGGCGTATATGTGTACAGAAAGACGAACACGAAATGCATAACCACAACATCAATACAGCAATCGGTTTGAGATGGGTAGCCGCCACTCCGTGCACACCCGTGATGACGACGATGGTGGTGGTGGTGGTGGGGTCAGAAAGAAAAAGCACAAATGCACAACAACAACACCAGGAATCAAATAAATGACGCACATGTGCTTCAAATACATATGCACACGTGCGTGTGGTGTGGTGTCCAACATTCAGACACCAACGCACAACAAAGAATAATTCAACAGTACGAAAGAAAAAAATTGCACCGAAAAGGAACACACAACAAGAAGATTGAACAGATGTAAGGAAAGACTTGAGGTAACGATCAGCACAAGACACAACCCATGCACATACACACCCATCACCGCACACAAAACAAACACATTATCTCCCCTTCATCCACGCACATGCACCATCACCCTCTTTCCGCGTTCCTTCACGCCGTAGATGCCGGAGACGTTCGCCCTGCAGACCGTGCCTTCCGTGTCGGTTTTCCGCCAGGAACAATTGTCAGCCGTGCCATCGTTTGCTTCAGTGCACCACCACCACCACCGGCACCGCCCCCACCACGTGCTGTTGTTGCCGCTGATGAGGATGAGGATGATGCTGATGCCACACGCGGGCGTGCTGCTCGCATCCCTTCCCCAACAGCAGCTGTTGTGGTGGTGGCGGTCGCTGTTGCTGCGCGCTGGCGGGGCGATGCTGGCGGCGATGAGGAGAAGCGGTTGTGCTGCGTGGACACGTGTGAGCGCTGCTGGTGGTGCGGGTGGCGGCGCGAGTGGTGGTGCTGTGGCGACGCAACCGACGACGAAGACGACAACGGCACGACGTTGTTTGGTGATGTTGGGTGCCATGGCTGCGCCCTCGGCACGGTATGTTGCTGTGGCTGTGCATAAGACTGATGCTGCTGCTGCTGCTGCTGCTGGTGGTAGGTGAACTGTTGTTGTACAGGCTGTGTTGTGGATGTGGGTGAGAGCGGCACGCCCTGTTGTGGCTGTTGCTGGTGACGGGTCGCATGGTACTGGTACTGCTGATGCTGATGCTGATGTTGTTGGCGGTGCTGGTGCTGTTGGTGGTGTTGTTGGTGGTGCGCTGGTGAGCGCTGTCGTCGTGAAGCCGACGGGAGGCGCGGTGCATGGGCGTGTGGGGGCACGATGGACGGCAGACGCGGGGGCGCAATCCTCTGCACGGGCAGAGGCGCCGGCGACAGCGGTGCCGGTAATGGCGATGGGGATGGTGGGGCGACGTGTGGCGCTGCTGCTGTTGTTGACGCATTGGCCGCAGATCGCGCTGACGGTGACGACGGCACCGTCGGGATGTACAACTGGTGGTAGTCGTGGGGGTGGTGGGAGTTGAGGTAGGAGGGTGAGTGAGTGAGTGAGTGAGTGAGTGAGTGAGTGAGTGAGTGAGTGAGTGAGTGAGTGAGTGAGTGAGTGAGTGAGTGAGTGAGTGAGTGAGTGAGTGTGAGTGTGTGTGTGTGAGTGTGTGTGTGTGTGTGAGTGTGTGCCTCTGTTGGTGGACAAATTGACCACGAATCAGCAAGCCAACGAGTGCAATTCCGTATCTCTCCCCTTTCGTGTGGATCATGTGCGAATTTAATTACCTTGGGCGGGCTGGCGTTTGCTCGCGCCACTGAGAGGGAGGGCGACTGCTTCTGTGCCCGGAATGACAGCGGTGGTGTTATGGTTGTTGTTCTTGCAGTCGCAGCGGCTGCTGTGGTGGCTGTTGTCGTGGGTTGTGCGGTGATGGTGGCGTTGGACGTGTTGGAGGAGCCGCTGTTGGTGTGATTCGTGGGCGTCGTGGATTTCGCTTTGAGCCTGCGACGTAGATTGCGGCCAGAGGGGAGCAGCAGGGAGGAGAGGGGATGGTTGAGGCACAAGGCAATATGGAAGCAGGCTGACACGCGACCGGGCAATGAGAGAGAGAGAGAGAGAGAGAGAGAGAGAGAGAGAGAGAGAGAGAGAGAGAGAGAGAGAGAGTGTGTGTGTGTGTGTGTGTGTGTGTGTGTGTGTGTGTGTGTGTGTGTGTGTGGTCGCACCGCTGAACAGCGTTGTAGATTTTCCTTCTGGGCCCAAAGACGGCAATGCCAATCTCCTTCAGGTCGTGCTCGGACATGTTTAGCAGCAGCTTGAAGTCCACCTCCGCCTTGTCAAACACAGGAATGTACTTTTCCAGATTCAGGCACTGCATGAGGGCGAAGGAGTGAGTGAAGTGAGTGAATGAATGAGTGAGTGAGAGTGTGTGTGAGTGAGTGTGTGAGTGTGTGAGTGAGCGAGAGTGTGTGTGGGTGAGTGTGTGAGTGTGAGTGAGCGAGAGAGAGTGTGTGTGAATGTGTGCGTGTGAGTGTGAGTGTGAGTGAGTGCAACTATCAGGACACCAACCCACCCACCCACACACACACACACACACACATACCCACCACACACACACACACACATAAACACAATCACTCACGCATGGCATATGCATGGAAGCAAATGTGTTACACCTCCCTCACATGGCCGCGCAGCACCGACCTTGAGTAGTTCGTGCACATCGCGCACGTCTCCAAGGCCGAGATTCAGCTCCGCCGCTCGCTGGCGCCCACTGCTGCACACCGCACGCATGTGGGGGGGGGAACATGCACATCGTGAGCCACACGCAAGACTCTCCATACGCTTCATCGCATGGCACAAGCAGAGGCAGCAGTGTTGATTACACAAGGTGCGGCAACTGACGGCTGCTTGGGCGGGGTCTTGCGTGTGCGCGTGTGTGAGGATGCGCGAGAACGCGGCGGTGACGACGGCAGCGGACTTGACACCAGCGCTGAGGGGACGGCGTGGTGAAGGAGTGGTGCCAGTCGGTGGCCGGTGGTGGGTGATCGGACATACGTGAGTTGACCAATGAAGGAGAACGTCGTCGCCGTGCTGGTGTCTTTCAAAGCACAGCATGAACGCACAGACACAGACACAAACACAGACACAGGCACACAGGTGCTTTACCTGCTTCGCTGCGCATTGGCCCGTCGTTGCTGGTGTTGTTGGCCTTCATCTTGATTAAGTTCATGATGGTGACGCTGCAGACGGCGACAGGAAATTGCAGGTGGAGCAAACACATCAACCAAGCATCAGAGCTGGTGAAGGCAACGCACGGTTGGTATGCAGTCAAGGAAATAGACGTAAACAGACACAAACGCAAGCAGGCAGGGAGACACACACACACACACTCACACGCGCGCGCGTGAGGTTCACACGAGTACAGTCACATACAGGCGCATGCACGCATGCGAGCTCACTCTGGTTGCGGCGACTTCTGTGCCGCTTCTTCACATGCAAATCCTGTGGCAACAGTGGAGATGAAGGTCAACAGTGGAGATGAAGGTCAACAGTGGAGATGAAGGTCAACAGTGGAGATGAAGGTCAACGGTGGAGATGAAGGTCAACGGTGGAGATGAAGGTCAACGGTGGAGATGAAGGTCAACAGTGGAGATGAAGGTCAACGGTGGAGATGAAGGTCAACAGTGGAGATGAAGGTCAACAGTGGAGATGAAGGTCAACAGTGGAGATGAAGGTCAACGGTGGAGATGAAGGTCAACGGTGGAGATGAAGGTCAACGGTGGAGATGAAGGTCAACAGTGGAGATGAAGGTCAACGGTGGAGATGAAGGTCAACGGAAGTGATGGGAGTGACGAGCGCACGTGGACAGAGAAGCATGAGGAGGAGCGCGTCAGTTGGCACCGACAGATAATGGTGGTCACAAGTTGCGCGTTGATTGCATGCCAAGGAATCATCGACAACGTCACCCACCCACGCATCCACGCACACACGCACCCACGCACGCACGCACCCACGCACGCACCCAAGCACCCACCCACACACACACACCCACACCCACACACCCACACACCCACACACCCACACCCACACACACACACACACGTGTTGTTGATGGGCACCACCTTTGTTGTTTCTGACGGTGATGTCGGCGCCCGCATCGAGAAGTGCCCGCACAGACCCGGCGCTGCCCTGTGGTGTGTGTGTGTGTGTGTGGTTGCATGTGTGTGTGTGTCGGGGGGAAAGGAAATGAAGAGCAAGCAGCGTTGGGGGAGGGGGACGTCGAAGCAAACGCGTGTCAACATGCAGGATTTGAGGTATGTTGCTGGAGCATGTCCTACACCAAAAAGTACGCCTGCACACGCACGCACAGAGCGAAGAGACCTCGTGAATGGCGGCGAGGAGCGGGGTGTTGCCCGTCGTCGTCTCAACCGAGTGCACATCTGCACCGCGCTCAATCAACTGCTTCACCACATGCTGCGCAGTGCAACACAAAAAGGAATGAGAGAGTGTGTGTGCGTGTGTGCGTGTGTGCGTGTGTGCGTATATGTTATTCAATGTCGCCAGCCCGCACAGCTCCATCACACACAGATACAGACACGCACACAAACATACACACAGGCACACACAGACACACACAGACAGGCACACCCACAAGCATGTACATGCGCACCGTCTGCCCGTTGGCTGCGGCCACGTAGAGCGGCGTCTTTCCACACGCCAGTGATTCGTTCACATCAGCGCCGCGCTGGAAAAATAATGGAGGAGGTTACATCGATCATACGTACACCACACGCCTTTGGCATGAGGGCACGCAGTGGTCGCCTGGTCGCGCGAAAGAGAGCAGACAAGAGACGCATTTGGAAACTTTAACCGACCCCACACGCACGTGCACGCACCTGCAGGAGGGTGTCAATGACGCTTTCCTTGCCCATGGATGCGGCCTGCAGGAGGGCGGAGTCTTTGCCATCGGCTGTGGTCTCATTCGGCGATGCGCCGTGGTCTGCAACCACACAATCATGCACCACATGCACATATTTGCAGATGCACACACACACACACACAGACACAGACACACAGACACATAGACACACAGACACACAGACACACACACACACACACACACACACACACACACACACACACACACACACACACCAGTGCGTGAGCCAGAGCGAGCCACACCAAGTCCCGCAATCGAGGAAGCTACAACAGAACAGTGAACACCGTCACGCACCGAGAAGGATGTCGACAATGGAGTCGTGTCCCATGTGCGCTGCGTAGATGAGAGGGGTCCATCCGCACCAATTGCGTTTCGATACGGCCGTCTTATCCTCCTGCAATGCCGCCTGCACGCCATCGCAGTCTCCCAGTGCCGCAGCCTGTGTGTTCCGGGATTTCACGTCGCCATTGTCGTGGTGTCAAACAGGCCGATTGTTTGTTCGAAGGCGGTGCACAACGCAGAAAGCAGGAGAGGGGTGCAGTGCAAGGTACAAAACAGGTGTACATACACACACACGCACAAGGTAAACATGTGAAAACACACGCACACTTGCACACACAGAAACGCACACACACACACACGCACACTTGCACACACAGAAACGCACACGCGCGCGCGCACACACACACACATGACTTACGGCGTGGATGTCAAAAGGGGTTGAGCCCGCAAGGGCGGCGAGCATGACTTGTTTGATCCCCAAGAGCATGCTCGCGGAAAGGCTCTGCGTCAGGTCCAAGTCAAGATCAATGCCGAAGCTCTCGTCCTTGTCCAAGGACTCGTTTGCACTGTTTAAGTCTGCCATCCCACCCTTCACCTCACCCTTCACCCCATTCCTCATCCCATCCGTCATGGCATCCGTCATGGCGTCAGTGACCGTTCCCTTTTGCACTGCTCGCCTCCTCCGCTGTGGTGCCAGACACAACAATCAAACCAAAACAACAACAACAACACCCTCAGCAAGCGATGACGAAGTCAGTTGTGCCCGCCTTGTTGCCTTGCTTTTGCTTGTAACGCCTTCTTGCTGTCCTCTCACTCGCGCACACAACAAGCAAGGTTGTAGAAAGTTGTTGAAAATACACGCAATTTTCTACCCACACCAACAAGCCAACAAGGTCACATCACAAAGCACACACCGTCAGCCATCACACACAAGCAACAGCGCGAAGATGAGCAAGTCCGTGACGGAGACCAGCAATGAGCTGACGGATGGGCTGGACATGGCAAGCCCGGAGCAGATTGTGCGCTTGCTGCGTCAGGCTGATGCGCAGATGTTCAGTGGGTGGCGCGAATTCCCAGGCATCAATGACACCTCCACTATCGACACCATGGCGGAGCTTGCTGAGGTCGCTTCCACCATCCTTGCCGCCTCACCGCACACCAAGCCCGCGCGGCGGACAGCAGCCAAGGGGCAGGGCTTCAAGCTGTCGGCGTCTGCAAACACCTCTGCCAAGGCCACGTCCCCGATGACGTGCGTGCACTCGCCGACTCTTGCTGCGTCCGTGTACGCGACATCAAGGGTCGTCATCACTGGCAGCGGCACGTCTGGTCGCATGGCCTTCTTCATCTGCCGCGCCTTCAATGAGATGATGCTGCGGTCCGGCCGCGCCCCTTGCTTTGAGTACCTGCATGCAGGAGAAGATCCGGCCCTGTTCGTGTCGCGGGAGGCTCCCGAGGACAACTGGCAGCTGGCGCAGCGCCGCCTGGCAGAGGTCATGTCCCGCTCCGAGCGCATCATGCTCGTCGGCATCACGTGCGGCCTCTCGGCCCCGTTTGTCGCCAGCCAGCTCGAGTATGCCATGGGCTTCCTCAACTCCAAGGTGCACGCCGTGGCCCTGCTCGGATTCAACCCCGTGGAGCGCGCACGCAACGCGCCCGTCGAGGGCTGGCACCGCACGGTCGCCGACGTCGTGCAGGAGATGGCACGGCGCAGGGCGGAGGGCGAGCCCTGCTTCATCCTCAACCCCGTCGTTGGACCAGAGGCCGTCACAGGGTCCACGCGCATGAAGGGCGGTTCGGCCACCAAGTTCCTGCTGGAGATTGTGTTTGAGCGGGCGTTTGTGGCCATGGCTGCCAACGTGGCGACACCTGGCCCGTCCACGCCGTCAACACCGGAAACCCGGCGCCGTGGCAGCCGCGACTGCAGGGCGGATCGGCGCACGCACTCGCCATCGCCAGCCCGCGCAACAAGCGGCGCAGTCTCGTCATCATCACAGGAGACCGCTACCGTGGACTCGGCCACCGCAGCAACGACGACGCCGACGACAGTACCAGCCGAGCCAGCAGCCACGGCAGCCACTGCACCAACGGCAGCCACGGCAGAACAAGGGTCCTCCAACAACCATCACACCCTGCAGAGCATCCTGTTCCCGTTCCTGCGTCGCCACCACCAGCAGCACCATCACCGCCACCACCAGCGCCACCATCACCGCCGCACTGGCAGCGCCACATCGTCACCCGACAGCCAACAGCAGCAGCAGCAGCAGTCGCAGCTGTGCGAGGGCGGGTGTCTTGGACGCGCCAGCATCAGCGCTCTCCTGATGAACTATGAGGCAGCGGTGCGCGCCACGTATCTTTCGCTTGTCGATATTGCCACTGTTGTTGCCATGGGAGCTGAGGCCCTGAGCAAGGGCGGGCACATCTACTACCTCGGCCGCAACTCATATGGCCTTGCCGCCGTGATTGACGCGAGCGAGTGCCAGCCCACGTACAATGCGCGCTTCGAGGATGTGCGTGCGTTCCTGTGTGGCGGGTATGCGACGCTGCGCAACGTGCAGGGCGACCTGTCGTCCCACTCGCGTGACTTCCGCCTCGGTTGGTGCCACTTCGGCGAGGACATTGTGCCGACGCTGACTTCACACGACCTCGTCGTTGTCGTGGATGGCGCGTACACGTGTGCAGACACGCCGGCGGCGATGGAGGACGAGAAGCTGCTGCCGTCCATCCTGACGGACGTCAAGGCCAAGGGCGCCGCGCTCGTTGCAGCCGTGGTCGGTGATGTGCAGTGCAAGGCCACCTCCCACCCGGTCTACGCATCATCGTCATCATCATCATCACCATCATCATCGTCATCATCGCCTGTGGATGAGGTGTTACAGCAGGAGTTGTCGAGCCCACAGCGTTTTGATTTTGTTCTGCGCGTGGATCTGCAGCACGTGGCGTTTGATACGCTCCCCATCCCCGTGTTTGCTGAAATTGCGATGAAGCTCGTTCTAAACGCAATTACAACAGGCGCGTTTGTCCTCACGGGCAAAGTCATGAAGAACCGCATGATCGACCTGCAGGTACTTTCGTTTTGCGTGTGCGTGTGTGTGTGTTTGCGTGTGTGTATGTGTGTGTTTGCGTGTGTATGTGTGTGTGTGTGTGTTTGCGTGTGTGGGTGGGGGACTGAGCTTTCCTGAAGCAATCTACACCCGGTTCAACTGCGACCGTCTGTCACTCACGTCTGGTCGATGCCTCGTGGCGACAGGTGAGCAACAACAAGTTGTTCTTCCGCTCGCTGGGAATCATCCAGGAGTTTTCGGGCGTGAGCGAAACACACGCGCGCACCGCTCTCCTCCGCTCCATTTACGACTGCACAGACGTCTCAAAGGAGGTGTGTGTGTGTGTGTGTGTGTGTGTGTGTGTGTGTGTGTGTGTGTGTGTGTGTGTGTGTGTGTGTTGGTACGAATCAATTGTGGCGTCACTGTTCATGGTCTTGTTTGCTCACGGGCGCCAATGTTACCATCGTCCACGTGCGTGTGTGCATGCGTTCATGTGTGGCCGTCAGGTGTGTGATGCGCCCATCAGCCAGCACATCCGCAGCGCCGTCGCTGCTGCCCAGGCCGCCCATCGCGTCGTCCCAACAGCGGTCGTTCTCGCGTCCCAGCCCGATCTCTCCCCAGACGCAGCGAGGAAGCTGCTGGCTGCACACCCCATTGTCGCACACGCCCTCAGCGAACTCAACTAGGCATGTGAAGCACTCTCTGTAGTTTTGTTTGTTTGTGTCTGTGTCTGTGTGTGTGTGTCTGTGTGTGTGTGTGTGTCTGTATTCGTGCGCAATTTCCAGAGTGAACCTCTTTTTCTCCTTGCGCGTGTCTGTATGTCTCTCTGTGCGCATGCTTCTCCCTGTGTGTGCTGTGTGATGGATTAGGGCTTTGCATCGAAACTACACTTTGATTGTCTGCCGACATCGGTTTGCGTTTGTGCACGTGCGGTTTTGGATGTGGGAATGAACAAACATGTCAAACATAGCCAAGACAAGCGATGCACGTATGAACACTGTGGGAAGGAAGGAACGAAAGGAGGGGAGCGAATTGTCAGCGTGCAATGCAGCCACAGGATGTTCGATTAAACACACATGAAATGAATGGGGTGGGATTGAGAGCGGAAACAACGGACCAGTCCGCGCGAAGAAAAGCGAAAGCGCGAGCGAGGAGAGGGGAGGGGGGCAATGCAAGCCAAGAAGGAACGGAACTTACAGTGCAAGTTTATACACGCACAGGTGCATTGGTTCACAGTTACACAGACACACCTGCAAACAAACACCTACAAACACACACACACACACACACACACACACACACACACACACACACACACACACACACACACACACACACACACACACACACACTCAGGGGGCCCTGCCCGGCCACGGGAGGTCCGAGTCGCGTCGCGTTGGTGTTCCCGGCGGTGTCGATCTGTTGGTGCCGCTGCTCGCGCGTGTGTTCGCCAGGCGCATGCGATGCCAGGACACCGCTGTTGGCGTGCGCGGGCGCGTCTGCTGGGACTCGGGCGGCATGTGCAGTGGCGAGCCGAACGATACCGACGCGGACGCACCCACCGGGTGCGACGATGATGACGACGACGACGACGATGGTGGCGGAACGTCGTGCTGCTGTTGGTGTTGTTCTTGCTGTTGGTGTGTTGGCGGCGGGGCGTGTGCTGACGGGTGCATGGTTGCGTTGAGCGGGCTGGTGGATCGCTGCCCTGCAACGGTCTGCCGCGACGTGGATGTGCTGAGTGGGGGAAGACGAACGGGCGGCAGTGACACCATGGATGGCGGCTGGCTGCGGCGGCCGAGTGTGTTCATCGGATACCACGCCCCCGCGTGCTTACTCGAGAACCCCTCTGCAAACGATGTGCCGTGATGGTGGTCGTGTGGGTAGGGTGTAGCAGTGTGGTTGCGGGGTGAATAACAGAGTCACATGCGCAAACACTAGCCAGAAGCATTCCATCAGCGACTGTAGACATTGGCCTATGATGAGTACACACACACACACACACACACACAATCAGTACACGCACGCACACAATCAGTACACGCACGCACACGTACACACACACACACACACACAAACACACACACAAACACACAAGCATCCACAACTGCCTCACCTGTGCCTTGATTTCTCTGTCGCGCTCGCCCTGGACCTTATCTGACAGCTCCTGTCGCCGCTTCACGCTCTCGCGCGCGTATTCCACCAGCCGTTGCAGAAACTGATGCGCATGTGTGTGCATGAAATGAGGTGGAGTGAACAACAACAACAACAACAACAACAACAACAACAACAACAACAACAACAACAACAACAACAACAACAACAACAACAACAACAACAACAACAACAACAACAACAACAACAACAACAACAACAACAACAACAACAACAACAACAACAACAACAACAACAACAACAACAACAACAACAACAACAACAACAACAACAACAACAACAACAACAAAGAAGGCAATGCCCGCGATGGTGTTCAGGAGTGATGTGTTGTGGTGGAATCATCCGGTTGTCAAAATCAAGTGATGATCACAGTCAGCACAAAACCACTTAGTCTCAATGCCTGCAGGCAATCATGTTATGTTTCTTTCAACGTACCGGGCTGTTGAATCGTGGTCGTGGTGGGCGGTATCGCCTTTGGAATCCAGCAGAGCCGCCAGTGTCAACTGGCACCTCAACATACTTCTCCACCACCTTCACCCGCTCAACAATCTTCTCAACAATCTTCTCAACCTGGTCGTGCGGTGTGTGTGTGTGTGTGTGTGTGTGTGTGTGTGTGTGTGTGTGTGTGTGTGTGTGTGTGGTAATGCATGAATAAGCAAGCTTAAGGCACCTGCCATCACACACACACACACATGATGAACACGCGAAAAGCACTTCTGACATTCAACTCCAGCCCTCCCACTCGATCGCAAGAAGCAGCGTGTGCTGCCGCGTCTGTTGGGATCTCACCTCCACGAGTTTCTCCACTTCCTTCTCAATCACAACCGGCTCCGGCTCTGCACCGCAAACGCAGCCGTTGTTCACACACACACACACACACACACACACACACACACAAGTACACAGACAGACACACACACACACACAAGGACACAGGAGTAACCATTGCGTACATGTGAGTTGTGAGGCTAACATGCAACTGACGGTGCAACGCAAAAACAGGGGCACCTTGATAGAGTGCGTGTATGTGCACATGTCAGTTGAACATGGATGAAGCGCTGTTGAGAAGAGTTGAACGATGAACGCACCAGGCATTGGGTCTGTCTGCATGCCCGATGTCTGGGTGTTATCTGCTTTGTGCTCTTTGCTCTTCGCTTCCTCAAGCGCAAGCTTCTCTGCAACGAGCTCCTCAATGCGTGCACTGGAGACGGCGGTATGTGCGCGTGAGTTTGAAGCGGTGTCAGCACGTGGCACTCGCATCGACACAGGAACAGACACGCATCCACATTCACATGTACACAGATGCACACATGCGCATGTATGCGCGCATCAACACACTGCACACTCGATGACTCACTCGTATTGGTGCTGGAGGGCTTGCAGTTGTCTTGTGTGCAATAGCGTGAGCTCAAGCATCTCTTGCATCGTAAACGTGGCCTGTGAGTCATTGAGGGCAAGAAAGGAACAGGGGGAGAGGGTGTGTGCGTGTGTGTGTGAGTGAGCGATTGAGAGAGAGAGTGTGTGTGCGTGTGAGTGAATGCGTGTGTGTGTGAGTGAGCGAGTGAGTGAGAGAGAGTGTGTGTGTGTGAGTGATTGAGCACACAGATTCAGGCAGATGCACACACAAAGAGTAAGAGAAAGAGACACAGACATGAGCAAACACATGCACGCACACACGCGCGCAATATGTGCCGCACCTCTCTGAGATCCTCCGAATTGACATCCAGGAGTTCAAACAGCCCATCTGCGGGACGTGACGTGACGTGATGCGACGTGATACAACGTAATGTAGTTGTTGGTGGGCGTGAGCGCAGTGCAGTGTCGACCACATGACAATAGAAAGAGAAACGCAGAACGCCGAGCACTGCCGAGCAGGAGGCACCAGTGTCGTGTTGTGCATGCGTGCGTGTGTGCGTGTGTGTGTGTGTGTGTGTGTGTGTGTGTGTGTGTGTGTGTGTGTGTGTGTGTGTGTGTGTGTGTGTGTGTGTGTGTGCTGTGACTAACTTGCAATGTCCACCTCCTGCCGCATGGCCTCTGCGCTCTGGCGATGGCCGTCGTCATCCTGGTCAAGATTGTTCTTCACCCTGGTCGCGTGCATGCAGTGAAGTGCGAGGTTTAGCATGCAACGCGAAGCGAAACAACCGTACACGACCCAAAACCAAGGCACGCGAATACGTGCGAACGCATTCGCAAACACACTCACACACGCACACACACATACGCATACACATACACATACACATACACACCCAGCAACAGCCGTGCGGGCGTCACAGCGACGCTGCGTATCACCTGTTTCGTCTCAGGGGCCTCCTCTTCTCCCCCTCGAACTTGGGTGTCATCATCTCAATTTGCGCGTCTGGTGGCGGTGCGAGAATAGTTGAGGTGTTTGGCGATGAAATAAGCGATATGCGTGCAGCTTGTGGTGGTAGTTATCCAACTGTATTAGTGTTGAATGGCGATTGTCGCGCACGCATCAGTGACACCAAACACACACACCCATCCCACACCCTCCGTGCCACCACCATGTCACCATGACCAGTGCCAGCGCCTCCACCGCTTCGTCATCACCATCGCCACCACACCTGAGAGCGGGGTGTGCGATGCTGCGATTGTGAGGCGAAGAAACGACGGGCAGCGCCCGGCACCGGCCTCCTCCGCAAACGCGGCCATGGCAGCCTGGTAGTTGTGGTTGTGGTGGTGATGGTAGGCGTAGTGGGCGGGGGGGGCAAGAATGGGGGTGACGATGATCGCGGCCGTGGCAGTGGCGATTCACAGGAGAAATCATTGTCGGCAACGCGCATATGCACACACATGCACGGATACACACAGATGCACACAGATGCACACATTTGCACGCACACGCCCGCGTGCATGCTCACACACACACACACACATTCATGCAAATGTAGACTCACGGTGGTCCGAAGAGACATGCTGATTGTTGCGCTCACGAATGTTGTTCGTGTTGTCATGGAGCCGTCATCACACTTGAGTGTGCTGTGCACATACCCACAAGCGAAGATAAGTCCATTTTCGTGCAAGCAACAAGCACACAAACACACACACACACACACAAACAAACACAAACAAACACAACTGTACACACATACCAAGATGTGGTTGCGTGGATTGATTCAAGGAGAGCGCGTGCCGTTGTTGTTCCCGTTGCCACAAGCTCCGCCTCCTCAAATCCGGTGAACACACGCACTTCCACCACATCCTGCACGAACAAGCCCTGCAGCTCCAATTCTCCGCCAACACTGATCGTGCACATGGCGACGGCAGCGCAAACATGCAGCAGGTGTGTGTATGTGTGTGTATATACGCGTGTCGTCGTGTCGGCAGTGAGCAATCTTGGGCCTGACAATGTGGCAGACACGTGGGTGAAGCACCAATTAAGTATGTTTTGGCCAACAGTCCCTCCACATCACGCAACATCTGCTGGGACCACATCACACCACATCTGCTGCCACCGCATGCCAGCACGTACAAGAGCGAGTCGCCTGTGTACAGAGCGTCGGCAACGCGAATGCGTTGGGTGTCCTTTGCATCGGACGTGATCGACGGGCGCACAACAGCTGGAACCAGGGCGAGTTGGAGGATGTCAGCAAATAGAGTCATGTAGGAGCACATGGACAGCAGCGCAAGCAAAAGTTGGTCAAACATGTACAGACAAACAGACAACGTAGCCGACACACAGACACAGCACAAATACAAACACACAGCACACACACACACACACAGCACAAATACACACACAGCACAAATACAAACACACAGCACAAATACAAACACACAGCACAAATACACACACACACACCTTCGATGCTAATGTCTGGCAGTAGCACATCTGCAAATCCGGAGATGTGGATGAGGTGCACATGTGTGACTGCAGAGTCTTCACCAATGTCAACCTGCTCCTCATTGTCTGCATCGCCGCCCCCGTTGCTTGCAGGCAAATCGTTGCCAGCAGACCGCGACTTGTTGACGGCAATGGCTTTGGACACCGCGCTCAGCACCTGACGGGCGTGTTTGACAATGGAACAAGAAGATGTGCAGCGAAGAGACGTGCAGCGATGTGAAGCGTATAGCAACGTTACTTGCTGCCGTTATACGCAGGTAGATGTGCACACACAAATGGAAAATACTCACATGGAAGACACACGAAGCCCGCCGTGCACACACGCACACACACACACACGCACACAGACACACGCACACAGACACACGCACACAGACACACACACACACGCAAACAAACACAGACACACACACACACCAGCGTGAACCTCACCTCATTGGGGGCCTCAGTACCCGGTGGTTTGAGCAGTTGGACCTGACAGGCAGCGCTGGCCACAGGCTTCTTCAGCAGCGCTTTGTCAAGACGCGTTTGAAGGTCGTCGCGTGTCTGCATCAGCGACCTCACCTGGAGCGGGGAGCAAAGGCGTGGGGGGGGGACCACAGGGTGCAAGCATCAGCAGAGCCACAGGCAGGCAGGCAGGCAGGCAGGCAGGCAGGAAACACACAGAGCAAGGCAAGGGGGCCAGACACAGAGACACCCAACGCGAATGCAGACAGACAGACAGACAGATACACATCAAACACACACATACACACACGCAGACGCAGCACGCACACACACGCACACACACACACAGAAACACACCAAACACACATCTAGACACAGACGCACGCAAGTGCCCACCTCCGACTTGAGCTGGAGGATTTCCTGCTGCATGCGTTCGCGCTCTGCCTGGCGTCGCTCAGCTGCAACCAAGATGTTGGGCCGGGTTTCCCGCCGGCTGGTGGGTTTGAGCGGTGGTCGCCGGCGCCGGCGCCCGTTCGTGTCACCAGGTAAATCGTCACCAATGCTGTCAAGGTCGTCGTCGTCTTCATCGTCGTCGTCGTCGCCGTCATCAAAGTGGATGTGCTCGCCCTTCTCGGCTGCTTGACGGAACGATTCAATGAGGAATTTCCACCGCCGCCCGTGGCGCTGGTTTGTCATGGATTTGGCAAAGAGGCGCTCCCACAGCATGTGCAGGCGCTCCTCCTTCATGCGCTCAAGGTCGGCCCCGGTTGTCTGCAGCTGTGACAGCGCGAGCTGCAGCTGGCGGTGATGTTCGGCGTACGACTGATGCAGTTTCGCCAGGACGGAGCCCTTTTCCTCCCACGGCTTGGCATACAGCGCGACGAGCCGCGACAACTCATACAGCGGCGGGTGCAAGCTCGATGATGCTCGCAGCAGCCGCCCGGAGATGACCATGATGTGCATGGAGAGCGGTCGCGGCAGGGACGAGTCCTTGATGGCGTCGCGCAGCTTGTGCAGCTGATCTGCGGCCACGTCCACCGCCTCCAAGCCACGCAAGCATTCCTCCGTTAAGGCTTGGAAGTCCACGGCTTGTTGCTTTCTCTCCATCACCTGCCCACCACCTCCTCGCTTCGGCACACTCCTTGAATCCCCGCCAGCAGCACCAGCAGTCCTGTGCATCCTCCACTGCTGCTCACTTGCTTGCTCGCTCGCTCGTTTTGTTGTCTTGTTCGCTGGCTGTCGTTGGCGACGGCCGCTTCGACTGAATTCAGTCTGTACCTAGCGACAGCATTAAATACAACGGCGGTCGACCCGAGCAGCAGCAGCAAACGAACCAAACCACGTGTTTGCACAACCACCTGCCCGCACTGTCATCATGAGCGAGGTGGCCGTCCTCAGTCGAGCTGTGCCCACGAGCGATGGCAAGGGCATCAGCATCAATGTGTGGAACCAATCCAACGGTGAGCAGTCGTTGCATTCGGCTGGGTTGTGTCTGTCTGTCTGTGTGAGTGTGTGTGTCTGTGTGTGTGCATGTGTGCGCACGTGTGTCTGCGTGTGCGTGTGTGTGTGTGTGTGTGCACGCGCGCGTGGATGTGTGTGTCTGTGTGTGTATGTGTGCGTATGTGTGTGCGTGCACTGCCGGCTGCATACGCTCTGTGCTACGTGTGCGGGACTCACGCGCGCAAACACGCATACTCGTGGTAGGATCATACCTGAAGGTGTTCCTGTCGGGACTGTGCGCGCCACGCACAGTCGTGCCCTTGAAGCAGTTCCTTGTGGCCTCACAAGCTGAGAAAGGTGCAATCATCTTCTGGAGATGGAATCAGGTAGGGTGGGCAGATGAGGCGTGCGCTGACGCTTCAATTCGCAAGAGCATCACTTATACGCACGCACATGTGCACACACACACACACATGCACGCACACATGCGCCACTCACACAAACATTCACGAACAAATGCACGCACGCATGCATACACTCGCTTGCACGTACAAAACGCAAATGCGCGCACTCATACATACACGCGTACATGCACTGATTTACTCTGCCTCCTTGTCATCATGGCTTCGTTACTTGAATAGGACAAGCCTGTGATTAGGATCCCGATGTCCGAGCGCATCACTGGTCTGGCCTGTACACAAAATGCACAGCTGTGCTTTGGAGGCTCTGCTCAAGGCACCTTGTTCGTCTGGCAGGTGCGCGTAACGGCTGTGGTTCATGAGAACAACACCGGCACTGTGTAACTCCCTGCGCCAGCTCATACCTGGCCCCTTGCGTCTCTAACCCACATCTGTATTCTGCTGCTCCCGTAACACCGTGCTTCCACGTGTTTTCTGCGCTTTTGGCGGGGGGCTAACGTGCTCCTTTCCCCAACCTTGATCACCATGCTCTCGCAGATCACCACGGGAAAGCTGTTGTGTCGCATCAACGCTGCACATTACAGGGGCATCAGCCAATGCAGCCTGACATCGGATGACTCTCACCTCGTCACTGCAGGCGAGGACGGCATCGTTCGCGTCTGGTCCGTCGCCAGGTCGGTCCGCACAGAGACAGAGAGAGAGAGTGTGTGTGTGTGTGTGTGTGTGTGTGCGTGTGAGTGCGTGTGTGTGTTTGACGTGCTCGCGCACATGATCTTCTTGACACTCGCCAGAAGATGCAAGCTTGTAAATGTCCATCCGTGCGATCTCACCTCTATGTACCATTCCCATACTACACACACCATACACCACACACACACACACACACACTGCACACACCACACACACCTCAAACAACTCGCACGGTAGCCTGGTGAGCGCGGCGCCTGCGAATCGAGGGCAGTCGATGCTGGCGCAGACAAAGAAACCGCTGCACACCCTCCACAAACACACGCTCGCCGTCTCCTCCATGTGCATCAGCAAAAGTGCGTGGCGTGTGTCAAGGCACAGGCCTGCTGATTGATCCTGCACTGCTGCCTCTTGTTCTCGTTCCGTTGAAACTGCAGCATTCTTGTGCCATCCTCCTCACCTGAACCACATCTCCACATGTGCCATCAACCTCATTGCCCATCTCTAGCACTTTGCTCACTTGCGCGTGTGTTCACTGGCGGCCATGACCGCGCCTGTCACGTAAGCGACGCGTGTGGCTGCAAAGTGTCGGGTGCTGCGCGATCTGGCGACTGCTCTTGCCCGAACATAGCTTGCACTTTCCCCACCAAACACATACAAATGCACACACGCACACGCGCGCACACATGCACACGCATACACGCGCACACACACACGCACATGCATGCACACGCACACATGCGTGCACGCAAGTGTTAACCTCACCATCCCCGTGTTTCTCCCCTTGATCGTGTGCTGCAGATCTGGGAGCTGTCGACTGGGGAGCTGCTCGGATCGCTGACGTTTGAGGACGAGGTGACGTCGCTCGCCCTCGATCCCGCTGAGACGTTTCTCTACGTCGGTCTCGCAAACGGCGTCATCCACCGTATCTGCCTCCATGACACGGTGAGCTGATGCAAACGCGCTTATGCTCCTTGTTGTTGGCGGGTTTGCTACAATTTGTTCGTTGTGCCTCCCTTGACGTGTCAACATGCAGCAAACACACACACACACACACACACACACACACACACACACACACAGACACAGACACAGACACACACAAAACTAACCCCATCCTCCCCCCTCTGTGGGCTCTGTAGAGCATCGAGGCGAGCACGGGTCTGCTGCTTGCGGAATCGCAACAGAAAGTGGCTGCACACCAAGCTGCCGTCGCATCACTGGCCATCACCCACGATGCAACGGCTCTCGTCAGCTGCGGCGCCGTGAGTTGCCCATGCATGGTGGTGGCGATGGTGGTCGCGGTGGTGGCGTAAGAGGCAGTGAACCATGGTGTTCAACGGTTGCAACAAGACAGAAACCTGCACTGCCGCCCTCACGCACGCACACACGGGCTGACGTGGCTGTGAATTGTGCACCTTTGAATTGCCAGGACGGGATGCTGCGCGTGTGGGACACGGCGTCGTTTCAGGCAACGCGGACAGTGGCGGGGTCAGGTGAGACGAAAGCTAGATCATGTGTGGGTGCACACGCACGCACGCACGTATGAATTCCTTGCGCATTTCGTGCCATTTTGTTAGCTCATTCGATTGTGGCTGATTCACACTTCTGTACACCACACGCCACTGAACAGACACGTTCAACAACGTCGTGCTTGTGCCAAAACTCGTCCTGGACCAACCGGTATGATCGTGAGGGTGTGTGTGTGTGTGTGTTTGTGATGATGATGATGATGATGATGATGATGATGATGATGATGATGATGATGATGATGATGATGTGTGTGTGATGGAGTATTGACGGTACTTTGGGCACGTTCGTCGTGCCTCTGTTCAGAGATGAAAGCCCACAATACAGTGAGTGCATGTTCACATCTTCACCACACTGTGTGTGTGTGTGTGCTGTGTTTGTGATCATGGCAGGCGCGGCAAGATCCCGTGCGTGTGTTTGGCCGCGAAGTTCGTCCGTTTATCGAGGTGTGACAGCAGCTCAAACGCCCATTGTAATGCTCATGCATGCGTGCGCATGTGGTCGGCAAGTCATTCCTCATTCCCGCCCCGGCCTCCGACCCATTGCATGTCTGTCCAACCCATCTGCCTCACCACATCACACCACTTGACACCACTTGATACCACGTCACATTGTGTGCAGGCAACGACGGCGTCTGAGAAGATGCCAACTGTGCCCGTCGCCCTGCCGGCCAGAATGCAGGTGCAGCGCCCGTGCTGTGGCTCGTGACTTGAGCACTGTTTTTTTGCCCAACGGCAAAGGTTGTTTGAAACACACACACACACACATGTACGCATGTCTCGTACACTCTTGCTCACACAACCCTCCTCTCCTCCCCCCGCACACACACACACACACGTGTAGACGTCCCGCGATGAGCACATGCATGCGGCGGCGCATCGGCACGTGAACGCAACGGGGCGCGGAAGGACACACGCACACGACAGCAGCGACAAAGACGTGGAGAACGTCGGTGAGAGTGAGGGCAAGGCTGGCGGGGCCAAGCAGCAAGGTGGCGGGCAAACACAGAAGGCGAAGAAGGGAAAGAAGGGTGGTCACAAGGGCAAGAGCAACGCTACCAACCAGAGCAAAGGCAATGCTACCACAGACACTGCCAAGGACACCGACACAACCAACACCAGCACCAGCGCGAAAGAGGCAGCACCAGCGGAACAGACGCAGACGCATGGTGACGGGACACAGTCAAGCAACACAACGAAGCAGGAGGTGAACACGAAGCAACCCCAGAAGAGCAAAACCACAAGCACTGACGCCATTGCCCGTGCTCGTCAGGTGTGTGATGTGTGTGTGTGTGTGTGTGTGTGTGTGTGTGTGTGTGTGTGTGTGTGTGTGTGTGTGTGTGCGTGCGTTTCAACGCTTTGCTTCCATCACATACTGGCTGTTCGTCCACTCATGCTCACGACTGATGTGTGAATGTTCAGGCGATTGCGGCGGCGCGAGCGAACGGCGATGGCGATGAGCAGCAGAGCAAACGCGCCAAGTCTGCCGGCGACACCACAGCAACACCCCCGAGCGCAGGGAAGGGCAAGGGAAAGCGGCGACGGAAGAAGAACAAGGGCAAGGCAGGGAAGTAGTGGGGTGGTGCGTAATGGTTGTGATGATCCCGACTTCACATTGTTCTTCATGTGGTAAGTCCGTGTTGTTGATTGCATTCATGCCTTTTGTTTGGAAACAGAGCCGTGATTCTATTGTGGCCGAACCAAAACATCCATGCACGAAACCCAATGACAAGACACAATGTCTGCGCCGGCCACGAGCGACTGTTGACCAGTGCACAGATTGACAGCATCACCATGGACACGCACACACGCACACACGCACACACACATGCAAACAGCCAGCGCAAACACACGAGGAGATGATAACTGTGGGAAAGACCAACGAGTGAACAGGACTTACAAAAGACACATACACGCACGCATGCATGGATAGGTGAGGAGAACAGGTAGGAAGAGGGAAGGGGAGAACAAAGACAGACACGAGCGAACAGCACTTCAAGCGAACAAACAAGGCACACAACAACAAGGCCGGGGGAGGTAAGAATGAAACGCTTTTGCGCTCATGCGCAGCCACAGCCTCCTTTGCTTGTTTCCGTGGTCGACGAGTCCGTGGGTCCAACCTGCACGCAATTCAACAGAGGCACATGAATGCAATCGGTGTGTGTGTGTGTGTGTGTGTGTGTGTGTGTGTGTGTGTGTGTGTGTGTGTGATGTGTGGGAAAGATCACAATCGGTGAACGCACCACAATCGTGTCCGAGGGCGTGGTCTTGTCAGATTCGCCGGCCTTGATGCTGCGCTGTGACACGAGACGGTAGATGGCTGGACACAAACGCACGCACAAATGCACAATAAAACGTGGTCGGAAAGCACAATGGTCAGGCAAATAAATGCTCGAGAGTCGTAGCGGGGACCTGAAGGGCAGGTTGACGCGCTTCAGTTTCAGAACACACATACACACACACACACACACTCACACACACACTCTCTCTCACACAACTGCACACAACACACACTCACAGGTGAGAATGTTCTTGAACGCCTCTTCGACGTTTGTGGAGTCGAGTGCAGATGTCTCAATGAACGACAACGAGTTCTCCTCTGTGGTTGATACAAACCGGAGCACAGAGGCAAGTGCAAAGGGCGTACGTCGTCAGCGTTGACAAACGGAGCAAGTGCAGGGTGGCGGCATGGTCACACAATAACAACAATGAATCGTGAGCTTCAATAACTACAGCACGCACACGCACACGCACACGCACACGCACACGTACACGCACACGCACACGCACACGCACACGTACACGCACACGCACACGCACACGCACCGGCAAACTTCGTGGCCTCCTCCTTGGGCACGGCGCGAAGGTGCTTGAGATCGCTCTTGTTGCCAACGAGCATGATGACGATGTTGCTGTCTGCGTGATCACGGAGCTCCTTCAGCCATCGGGACACGTTCTCGTAGCTCGCATGCTTGGCAATGTCATACACCAGCAGTGCACCCACAGCGCCCCGGTAGTACCTGCAAGACAGGCGTAGACGGGCGTGCAGTCAAGAAGGTTGAGACGCGTGACGGAGCGGAATGAACAAGGATCTCACCGTCGCAACACATGGTAGCACGTCTTCTCACCTTGCCTCAACCCGACTTCACACCCAAACACACCCGCCTGCAACACAAAGACTCACGCGCTAGTGATGGCGCGGTATCGCTCCTGACCGGCTGTGTCCCAGATCTGTGCCTTGATGGTCTTGCCGTCCACCTCAATGCTGCGGGTGGCAAACTCGACGCCGATGGTGGACTTGGACTCGAGGTTGAACTCATTGCGCGTGAACCGGGACAGCAGGTTGGACTTGCCAACACCAGAGTCGCCAATCAGCACGACTGTTATTAAAGCAGGTGTGGGTCAGACATACATCATGAGGACGACTGACGACGATGGCCGTTCTTGGCTTGTCATGCATGACTCACACACGCGCGCACATGATTGTTTGTGTGTACACCACACCGCATTATCCACCCTGAGTACGCAAGCGCGCGCATACACACACACACACGCATATGGAGCTGCGCAACCCAGACCAAAGCCAGCGCCAAGAGAACTTACTCTTGAAAAGGAAGTCATACTCTTCTTCGCTTGACATGGCTGTTGGTTTGTGTGGCTTCCGGAGTTTCTTCGAATTGGACGCTTGCGAGCGATGTGGGGGAATGGGAAGGAAGCTGCTGCAGGATGGGATGCATGAAGGAGGCCAGGTAGGCAGGCAGTGTGAGGAAGAGAAGAGGAGACGAGGGTGACATGGAAGGAGGACAGGAAGGTGTGCAAAGCAAAGCAAGCAAGCAAGCAACAGAGGCGACCCAAACAAACCACACACACACACACACAACAAGAAGGAAGGCGAGCATGGATACAGACACCAGCGGTGGTGGGCGGTTGGCTTCCAGACCTGTTGTCGTGCTGTTTTGTGTGCGTCTCCTTTTCTCTTTCTTGCCACTCACACAGTCCACACACACACGTCAAGAAGAAGGCAAAAAAAAAATAAGTGGTGAAAAAATTGGACATTAAATCACCATCATATCCCACATGCGAGTGGTGCGTGCCTTGTGATTTGAGGCTGATTTAATCTACATCGATGTGCGGTGTTGGCACAGCACAACCACAAGCAAGCCAAGCAACCAGGCAGGCAAGCAACCAGCAAACAAGTACACGCACAGGTTGTCATGTCACATCACACCACACAGGCACACACACAAACAACGTCACAGGGCGAGGGCAAAGGCGTTGAGGGATGTGGAGAGCGTGTTGAGGCGGGACTGCGAGGACAGCGCATCGCACTGCGCCAGCACGGTGCACGCTTCCACACAAGTGGCACCCATCTGTCAATAATGTCAAGCAACCAAGCAACCAAGCAAGCAAGTCAGGAGAAAGGCGGGGTAAAGAGAACCATCGCGGTCATCACATGACATTGCGTAATGAGAATACACTTGGTTGTGTGTCACACACACACACACACAACGCATTACCTTGTTCACGCACGATGCCAGTTGTTCAGCAAGAACCTGGTTGCGCAGCCTGTACATACAAATGTAAACGAAGAAGAAACGATGCCATGACACACAAGACAACAAAAAAGTGAGTCGCTGTGAACACCACACACCACACACCACACACCACACACCACACACACACACACAACTGCAACTGCCAGAACGCACTTGTCAAGGCGATGAAGGCGCGAATCAGGCTCTGGGGCAACGCTCTTGGGCCTGTCGGCAAAGCACGGTGTACGGACTTGGGGGCGGCACGGCAGGTTGGACACGGTGCTGCACAGCGTGGCTGGCGAAGGGCCGACACTGCCCCAGCCACCGCCAGCGAGACCGCGCACAGCAACAATGTGCGTCAGGCACGCCTCCACAAACATGAGGATGTTGGCATCCGAGGTGGTGTGCAGCTGCACATCAAGGGCGCCTGTCAGGCGGCCTGGAAACCTCTCCCGCAGCGTGCGGATGAGGGCGAGCAGGTCCGCAAAGCGGCCGAGCACCACCATCGGCGACAGTAGCTCGGCCCGGATCAGGCGCATGGCCACGTCCGGCAGCGCCGCGTCAAGTGACAGCGCAAACAGCTCCTGCGCAGCAGCAACGGCGCCCGCGTCCGCGCTCGGCAGTTTCGTCGTCGTCGTGGCAAGCACGGCGCCAGGCAGGCGGGCAGTGCCATCAGCGGCTGTCGACGCACGTGGTGTCGCCGCTGTCTGGCGTGCGCGGTGGTACTGCTGAGTGCGCGCAACAAGGGCCGACTCGGCAAACCAGGCCGGGCACACGCGCAGCTGAGCAAGCAGGCCGGCATCTGTGGCGGCATGCAGCTCGTGGTGGCGCATGATGAACCGGCGCACAAGCAGCGACCGCGTGGCGTCGTCATCAATGTGCTGCATCACGGCGAGTGCGGCGGAAAGGCAGCCCATCTGCTCCAGCTGCGACGCAAAGTTGACGTGCAGCAGGCGCTCTGTTGGGAACGACGCCACCACGCCCAGGGCGCGCAGCAGCACAAACAGCAGCCAGCTGAGGCGGTAGTCGTGCTCGTCCGCGGTGTGGTGCAGCGGGTTGAGCAGGTCCTTCACGGCGAGGTCCTTGCCGCCGTACGCCTTGAGTCGCAGCAGGCAGTACAGGAGGTCTTGCCGCTCGGGCCGCGTCGCCTCCCTGCTCTCGGGCGCGTCGCGTGTCCACATGCGCATGTTCGGGGATGACAGCGTCACGCAGTGGGACTGGTGCGCAACCACCGGCGGGCGGGCAATCACGCGCCCACCCTTCTGGTCCGTCAGCCACACGCGCGTCGCTTCCTCGTACGTCTACAAGGCACAAAAGGGTGCGTTTGGACAGATGCGTGTGCGTCGACGACCAGTGCGAGAGTGAGAGCGGGTGAGTGAAAAAGAGAGGGAGTGTGTGTGAGCGTGTGTGTGTGTGTGTGTGTGTGTGTGTGAGAGAGAGAGAGGGGGGGGGGGGTAGCGGTGTGTGTGTGTGTGTGTGTGTGTGTGTGTGTGTGTGTGTGTGTGTGTGTGTGTGTGTGTGTGTGTGTGTGTGGATCAAGGAAAGACAAGCATCGTCAAGCGAGTAGCAGGCAACGTACATCCAGGACGGCGCCGAGGCTTGAGGGCCCGAGATATGTCAGAAACGTGGTCAGCGTCTGCTTCCAAGTGAGGCCTACCAAGAAAACAACACCACCAAAACATCAAAACAGGGGAACCCCCCCCCCAAAAAAAAAATTCATTAAGTACTTGTAAGACACGCAAGATCCATGTGGGCGGGCGTGTGAGCGCCACAAGAGCATGCAGGCAAGGCGGCTGATTCATACCTTCGAGGGTGTAGATGCGGTTGCCTTCGTGGCGATGCGGTGTGTCCGGCCACGTCGAGCACCCGGCCAGCAACGCATACACGCGCCGCCTGGAACAGGACAACAACAACCATAAACAAATGAGTGCGGAGGAAGAAGCGTGTCAGAGCATCACCAACAGGAACAGCACCGCCAACAAAGCAACGACCAAAGCATGCGCGTATACGACCGCAACTGTCCAACATCCCTTCCTTTTCCTTGGGCAAAAAAGAACGCGCACACACACACACACACACGCACACACACACGCACGTTCGCACACACACACACACACACACACACACACACACACACACACACACACACACACACACACACACACACACACACACACACACACGGCTGCAATGTGTTCAGTGTTACCTGAGTGGGTGGATCCTGTTTGATGCGGCGCGCTCGTCCCAGTCCACGAGCTGGTCGCGCAGGAGCGGGGCGCACCGCTGGCCCTCGTCAAGCTGCGACAGGTGCATCGCCAGTCGGTGGTCCTGCACGCCCAGAAACGTCACAGGCACACAAGAAGGGGGAACCGAAGAGCAGGAAAGCCATGATGAGCACGTGCAAACTGGGTCAGGCGGTTGACAACACAGCAAATCCATTTGTGTGCGAGGCGATGGGAGGGCAGCAGCAAATGGATTCAGTGCCACAGGCGAAACGAGCACACGCAACGGGCAGCTAGAACAAACCTTAAACTGGCAGGCAAGGTCGACGGCTGCGGCGAGGTCGTGGCGGTGGATGTGTGCCAACAGCTGCTTCAAGTACTGCGTCTCCTCTGCTGGAAACCCGGGTACGTCGCCCACGCTGATGTCGCTCTCGCACACGCTCTCGAACCAGCGGATGATGACGTCTCGTCGTAACATGGCGGCCTCGCTGTGCGCCTGCGACTCGTCGTCGTGGGAGGCGAGGTGTGGCTGGATCTCCTCCGGCGCGGCAGCAGCCTTGCCCCACAGCTGCGGCGGGCCCCACAGCGCATCAAGCAGCGACATCACCTGGCGCACCACATGGTCCCAGAGCAGAGGGGGAAAAGTGTGAGTGTGCGTGTATGTGTGTGTGTGCGTGTGAATGCTTGTGTATGTTTGGGGAGGCTGAGTGTCGGTGACGAGACGATACCTGCAAAGAGTACCACGAGCATCTCAAGCACATAAAAAAATAATAACCGAAAACAACCAAAATCAACCAATGAAGCCACAATCACGCAACGACGACAACAACCCCCACAAAACCAAGCAGAGCAAACCAACCTGGCTCTGGTAGTGCAGGGAGGCGCGGACTTGCTCTGGGATGGCCGGGTTGGTGCCGGCTTCACGGAACTCGCGCTGCAGCTTCTTGCACAGGAAGATGGCGTGTGCACGCTGGGACGCGGCCTCTGTCGACTCAATGCGCACGAGCGGGACCGGCTGCTCACGGGTGACCTGCGCGGGGGACACCTCGCTCTTGTCAACGATGGCGGCAATGGGAAGTTCCAGAGCAGCACGCAGGTCGGCGCCGGCACCCACGCTGCGCTCGGGATTGTTGGCATCCCGCATGGTGAAGAGCTGGCCGAGCGACACCAACCGCGCTGCGTTGCGTTTCTGTGAGCGCGACGTGGGCAGCAGGCCACGCAGCTGGCGGTCCGGTGACGCCTGGCTGGCAACCCCGGCATTAGAAACGCCAGGGATGGACACCACATCTGCAACGCCAAAGGAGACGCGGAACGCGCTGCCCATGGCCATGGCTGCGTCTGCAATCGTGCCCGCGGCGTGGGTGCGGTCTGCTGCGCGGTTCTTGTGCAGGTGATACAGCAGCGTCGTCGTTGGGTCGACGTCCACGGCAAGCTTGCCTGCCCCACGGAAGAACGAGAGCTTTGGCGACACCTGCACCATGCTGCGCTGCAGCTGTGTCTCTGCCAGCGTGCGCGACCGCTCTTCGCCACCGCTGCCGCCGGCTGCTGGTGTGAACGGCGACAACGACGATGCCGCCGCCCCTGCTGCTGTCTCAGCTGCAGTTGTGCTTGGGCGGCTGGGCGCCTTGGCAAACGGGCTGCCCACGGAAAACGCAGCGCGCTGTTGCTGTTGCTGTTGCTGCTGCTGCTGCTGCTGTTGCTGTTGCTGGCGGCGCGGCGAGTCAACGGCAGGGTCAAAGGGGGAGGACACGACTGAGCCCCGTGCACGCGTGGGTGGCGCATCCAGTGGGGAGGCTGTGGTGAAGCCGTAATCTGCCAGCACGGGTTCGCGCGGTAGCAGCAGCGGGTTGTCCGCTGGATCCTGGCTCGTGCGGAAAAACGCCATCCTCAACGACTGTGTCGTGATTTGGTAGTGTGTGTGGTGTGGTGTGGTGTGGTGTGGTGTGGTGGTGGTGGTGGTGGTGGTGGTGGTGTGTGTGTGTGTGTGTGTGTGTGTGTGTGTGTGTGTGTGTGTGTGTGTGTGTGTGTGTGTGTGTGTGTGTGTGTGTGTGTGGTGGTGGTGAGAAATTGAGAAATTATTTGACGCGGGCAAGCACGACGTGAACGCCATGGGCCCAGGTGCCACACCCGCAAACCCATCCACCCTACCCACCAATCCCGCTCAACAACAGGGCGTGCAAGAGTAGCCACAGCTGTGCGCACCTCTTGCGTCCTTGCTTTCGCCCGCATCGATGGTGACAGCGTCTCAAACGGCGACCGAACACCTGCACGCACACGCACGCACGAACGCACAAGAGACAACCAACAGTCAGCCAGCGCCAACGCAAACACACATGACACACGCACACACATACACACAACGCCGCGATATCGACAAGGAGGAATAGATGCAGTCAAATTTACTCGAGGTGAAACAGGCAGAAATGCACAAGATAGTAAGCCAGACAAGGCGTGAAGCGACAAGGGAAGACAAGAGGGCATGCAAAACGAACAGGAGAAAAGAGAAAGAGAAAGAGACGACAACGCAGTGCATGTTTACACAGCTTCACAGGCGATACAGAGCTCCACGGAGCGTGCATTGTCGCACAGCGCAAGTCTAGTGTAGTAGCCCACATTGGGCAGGCACATGATCAAGCAAGCGCGAGCAAGGAGCGGCTCTGACTAACTGGTTGCAGCGGCGGCCGCGGTGGTGGCGGGTGGGACATTGCCCGTGTCATTTTCGTCCTCGAGGTCCATGCTGTACCGGCTCGTCGATGATGCCGGCGGCTTCTTCTGCGCTGTGCCCTTGAGTCCATCGCGCTGCTTCTGCTTCTGCTGTTGCTGTTGCTGTTGCTGCCGCTGCATCATTAGCTGTTGCTGCTTGAGCTTGGCGGCCTTCAACGCCTCGGCTTCATCTTCTGTGTCCGAGTCATCATCCATGCCATACCTGACCAGAACGCAAGCCACAACAGGCGGTTAGTCAGAGCTGTGAAACCAACAAAAGGGGGGGGGGGGCTACAACACGCAGAGGGCTGACTTCGATGGCTGAGGGATGTCCACACACTTGCAAACACACACACACACACGCACACACACACACACACACACACACGCACACACGCACGCACGCACGCACGCACCAACAGGCAGCCGCGACTTACTTGCTGAAATGCTGCACTTCAAACTGCCAGATGCCGCGCTCGGCGTCGTACTTGATGAGGCGTGCGCCTGCACGCTCTGTGCGAAGTTTCACCTGCATGCAACAACCAGCACACAGCACATGGCACTGCTTGATGAGCAACAATCAAGAACAACAACAACAGCAACAATCAAGAGCGACCGAACACACAAGCAAGCAAGCGAGCGAGCAAACGAACGAACCAAAAAACAAAACGAACACACAAACAAAACAAGCAAGCAAGCAAACAACAAAAACACACACGCGACGACGACGCACCTTGCGCTTGTACTCTGCAATTTTGTCTGGGTCGGTGACGATGTTTCCCTGAGAGTCGCGCTTGAAGACGTTGTTGAGGGTGATGATGGCACGGGAGTTAAGCTCCTCCCCCTGCTCCGGGTGATACTGCTCAGAGGCAGGGTACACCTCCACAGCCTTGTCAGAAAACCTGACAAAGACGGCAAAGTCGTAGCCGCCAGAGAGGTCGACGGTGTTGAACCAGCGCACGCTGCCGTGCGTGTCGTGCTTCACCTCAATCTCGCTGGCCTGGCTCAGCTCGCCCAGCGTGAAGCGGGCAAAGTCCTCGGCACACGTGCACTCGCAGCGACCGTGACCGGGCACGTTGAACGACACAATCGTGTGCTCGCCAACAGAGAAGTCGAGCGGGTCTGCCGGCTTGTTCAGATCAGCAGAGGACGTGGACGTGTTGGAGTCATCGGACGCCTCAGCGCCGGCGGCGTGGTCGGTATCGCCGAGCGCCGTCCGCCGGGTGCTGCCGCCCTGCGCACGCGACACGGGCGTGGACGCGGCGGCATGCGCACCAATAAGCGGGTGGCCGGGCGTCGTCACGTCAAAGTTGGGCGGCGTCGGCGGCGTGGGGCGCGAGAGCGGGCCCTTGCGCACAGACATCATGCTAACATCCGCAGCAGCGGCCTTGTCAGAGCCCCGCGAAGCACCAGCGTCCGCAGATGAGCTGGTCCCTTTTGCCCTGTCTGCCGCTGTGGCACCCTGCTTGGGCTGCTGGTTCTGCTTCTGCGTTGCTGAGTCAGCGGCAGCTGTGGCCGTTGCGTCGAGGTCGCTCAGGAACTGCGCAGTCGTGGAGGCGTCCACAGCCGTCTCGTTCAACCGAACCTGAGGCGTTTGGCGGGGGGAAGGAGGATGTGAGATGGGTGGTGTGGGGGACAACAGGGGTTAGCAAACAAGAGGCACAAGGCAAGCAATACGACGCAGCTTTCACCGCCACAGGGCAAGGGCAACAGCATCTCGCATGCAGTGGGCGAGCGAGCTCGCGCCCACAAACAAACTCGCAAGGAAAAAAAAACAGCAAGGTGGACACACCTTTGAAGAGTCTGCGGCAGATGCGGTTGACTTGAGGAGCGGGTTTTCGTGGACACGCGAGTAGTCGTGCATGTTCATGGCCAGGCGGCGCGTGGGTGGCGCAATCAAATCAGGCACTTCCTTGCTCACCGTATCAGCATCCTGGGGAACGTGTGTACGTGTGTGTGTGTGTGTGCGTGTGTGTGTGTGTGTGTGTGTGTGTGTGTGTGTGTGTGTGTGTGAGTGCGCGCACGTGTGAGTGAGTACATGAATGTGAGTGCGAGTAACGCACCTTAGGTGAGCGTTCATCTGAGCACGAGATGCAAACACGATGGCATAGCGAAACGGACCACATCACATCAAGAATCAAGAAGAGTGCAACAGCGCACACCAGCTCTGGCGTACACAGATTTACACACGCACACGCACACAACAATACAGCACCTACCAGGAGTGCGTGGTACTGGGAGAGGCGAGGGGAGAACTGACGGCGCTGTGCGCTCTGCAGGCCGCGAACGCGGGCGGCCTGGGGCGTCTGCTTGAGCTCCTTCTTGTCCTTTGCTCGGGCAGCAGAGTCCTTGACGTTGATGCCGCGGAAGAGGGCGCGGTCGCCATATGGGGTGCCCGGGTAGACGGCCTCGGGGACGCCAGCCATCACGGCGGGCTGCGGCACAGCCACCATGGGCGCCGGCATCATCATGGGAAACGCGGCCTGCGGCTGCTGCATCATCTGTGCCTGCTGTTGCTGCTGCTGTCCCATGCTCATGGGCGTGAACGCAGAGCCCATGGTAGCTGGTTTCTGGAAGGCGCCCTGCCCGCCAAAGCCCTGCTGCTGCTGCTGCTGCTGCATGCCGCCGCCAAAGGGGGATGCCCCCATGCCCATGCCCATGCCCATGCCCATGCCCATGCCAGGCCGTTGTTGTTGCTGCTGCTGCTGCATACCGCCCCCAAAGGGAGAGGCGCCCTGCTGCTGGCCAAAGGGCGCCTTGGTGGTGCCGCCGCCAAAGGGGCTGGGCTTGGCCCCAAACTGCGAGGTCTGCCCAAACGGCTGCTTTGCGCCAAACGCCGACGCCTGCGACGTGCCCATGCCCATGCCCATGCCCATGCCGGGCTTCTGTTGCCCAAATGCACCGCCACCGCCAAACGCGCTCGTGGTGGGCTGCTGCCCAAAGCCTGTCTTCTGGCCAAAGGGGCTGCCGGCCTGCGTCTGACCAAACTGCGACGTCTGCCCAAACTGCGACGTCTGACCGAACCCGGTCTTCTGGCCAAAGGGGCTGCCGCCTTGTTGCTGCTGACCAAAGGCGGGCTTCTGCTGTCCGAAAGCGCCTGCTTGCTGACCAAAGCCCGGCTTCTGGCCAAATGCGCCTGCTTGGGACTGGCCAAACTGGGATGTCTGGCCAAATTGAGACGTCTGGCCAAACCCGGTCTTCTGTCCAAATGCACCTTGCTGCTGCTGGCCAAAGGCGGGTTTCTGCTGTCCGAAAGCACCTGCTTGCTGTCCAAAGCCTGTCTTCTGGCCAAAGGCGCCTGCTTGCTGTGGCTTCTGGCCAAAGGCGCCCATGCCTTGCTGGCCAAATGCACCCGTCTGTCCAAACCGCTGCTGCTGTTGCTGCTGCTGCCCGCCAAACATGCCGCCGCCGCCACCACCACCAAACGCGCCCGTCTTCTGGCCAAATTGGCTGCCGCCACCAGCAGCGCCAAACTTGCTTGCGCCCCCTGTATGACGCGACCAAAAACAAAGGCAATCATGTTCGGAGAGTTGGCGCGAGAGGAATGTGAGCAAATGGGCAGAAAAAGGTAGACGATGCACGCGCATTTAAATCAGTGTGGTGGGGTGTGCGTGCGTGCGTGTGTGTGTGTGTGTGTGTGTGTGTGTGTGTGTGTGTGTGTGTGTGTGTGTGTGTGTGTGTGTGTGTGTGTGTGTGTGTGTGTGTGTGTGTGTGTGTGTGTGTGGACGAACATTGGCTCTGGGTGGTTTGTCCAAACATGCCGCCAGGCTTCTGCTGCTGTTGCTGGAAGCTGGAGCCAAACTGGGAGGTGAACGCCTTCTGCTGGCCAAACTGCGATCCTGCGCCGCCGCCAAACGCCGACCCTGGCTGCCCAAACTGCCCGGCAGGCTTCTGCTGCCCGAAACCTGTGCCTGCAAAGTCGAGAGCAACGACGTGGGAGGGGTAATGGCGGAGAGGAGGGGGAAAGGGAATGAGAAAAGCAGCGCTTGAGTGAGAAGGGGGGTAGAGGGAGCAATCAAGGGTATGTGTCGTTTACATCTGACAACGCGAGTTGCCTGCATTGATGCCTGAAAGACATACATGGGAGAGGCACTTCATGGACAACGCAAACGCAAACACAACAAGGTGCGCACATGACGTACCGGCAGACTGGGGCCCCGCACGAGGCGGTTGTCCATTGTTGATCAGGTAATCGTTAAGTCGGAGCTCCTGTCTCGCCACCGCGAGTTGACGGCGGAAATGGGCGCGGAGGTCGGGCAAACAAGAGACACGCACGGAGCGAAAGAGATAGGACGACAAAATAGGCACGTTTATGTCATGACGACATTGGCGGTCAGGAGGAAAGCAACAGCACATGCATAAACAAGCAGAGGAAAGGAAAGGTGTGTGTGTGTGAGAGAAAGAGAAGACGGGTGATGGTAGCGAGGCGCGAGCAGTTGCAGCAACGGGAACGCACACCAGTGTGACCAGGGCCCAAATGCGAGCAGGGCAAACGCAGACACGTGTGCAATTTGGGACGAACCTCAGGGCTCATTTGAGAGTAGGCAGACATGGCAGTGATGTTTGTGTATTGGGTTGGGGTTTTCTGGGCAGAAGCATCAAAACGCGGTGGTTTGTGACAGTTGCAATTTCAGGCTCAAGTCGAGGGATTGTGGGCATGGCACCAAGCGCAGGAAACAGCACGACACACACGAACACACATGCACACGTGTATGAAACGAGTGTTGTGTGTTGTGTGTGTGTGTGTGTGCTGGAATGGATGTGTGCGTGTGTGCTGGAATGGATGTCATAAAATAAAAGCACATGCGCATGTATGGGGTGGATGGTGGTGCCAGAAGCAGAAAAGCGAGTACGTACGCCCAGGGTGGTCGTGTGTGGAGAATAGGCGGGTCCTTGCAATGTACTGCTGGCGCCTGCCTGTTGCTGCTGCTGACCGCCACCAAATTGCGAGCCTGGAGCATTTTGGTGCATGTGTGCGCATGTGTGTGTGTGTGTGTGTCATTGTGAGCTGAGGAGACACGGAGGGAAGTGAGTGGAGGGAAGGAGGGGGACGTCCGTCGGCTTGCAACATATGAGCACCATTGAGTCGAACACCACAAAGCAAGCAGAACAACAGGAACGAACCAAAGCCGGCTGACATGCCCGCTGATGAACGCATGGCGCTGCCAAACTCTGTGCGTGATGTCGATGCGAACAAATAGAGCGAAGAGGCGCAACGTCAAAATGTGAGGCCACAGTGTGTTTGTGTGTGTGTGTGTGTGTGTGTGCGTGCGTGCGTGGTGTGTGTGTGTGTGTGTGTGCGTGGTGCGTGGTGTGTGTGTGTGCGTGTGCGTGGTGCGTGGTGCGTGGTGTGTGTGTGTGTGTGTGTGTGTGCTTGTTGTTGCGCGAGACGCAGCAAACAGAAGAAAGCAGGTTGCGACAAGTGGAATGAACGTACGGCTTGATGCGCCGCCGCCAAAAGAGCTCTGCTGCTTGCCAAAGCCGCCGCCTCCAAACGCGGTTCCGCCACCGGTACCGCCAAAAGCTACATGCGCGCGTGCAGACGGGTGTGAGAAACAGATATACGAGGTCAAGTGGAGGAGGTAAATTGTGCGTGCGAAGGGGTGGTCTTGTGGACAAGGAGGAAAGCGTAGTCAAGCGGAGGTGACGGATGCCAGCGCGACCAGAACTGTGACACTGCTTTGTACAGTGGTCAGGTGAGGGAAAAGCTTGGGTGAAGGGGAAACAACGCCGAGGGGTTGTGGTTCTTGTTGGTGGATGCGAAAGAGCTTACCTGAAGTGGCACCAAACTTGTTTTGTTGTTGTCCAAAGGCGCCGCCGCCTCCAAACGCGGGTTTTTGTTGGCCTGTATAGCGGGAGAAGGATTAACGTACACGTGCACGGTGGTGAGTCCGGGAAGGGAGGTGTTGCACGCAAGCACGACATGGACGCATCAGTAGGATCACGCAATGGCCATGTGTGGCTTGTCGAGGCACCCAAGCGAAAAAGCACCCAATGATCACAATGACAAACGAAGTCACGCACGACCATCCATCCATCACACACAACGATCAACCTATCACACAACCGGCAAGCAAACGAGGCTGTACAATGCGCACGAAGAAAAGGGTGTATGTGTGCACTCACCGAAGCCGCCGCCGCCACCACCGCCAAAGTTGCGCTGCATCATGGTGGCGGTCGTTTACTGTGTGCTGTGTTGTGCTGTGTTGTACTTGGTATCCTTCGTTTGTGCCCTGTACGAATGCGTACGTTCGTTTGTTTGTGTGCGTATGTTTTGTGTTGTGCGTGTATGAAGAAAGGAATGCAAGTGAAATGAATGAGCGTTGCAATGATGGGAGGACAGTGGATACTCACCCAGTCAAGTGTGAGAGAGCGCGAGCGGTTGCAAGGTCTGTGCAGAGAGTGTGTGTGAGAGTTGTGTCGTCTGTTGCTTTGGTGTGGTGTGGTGTGCCCGTTGTTGGACTGGTACGCACACTCAACGACGACAGGAGGCGGCAAAGGAAACTGGTTTTTTTCGCTGGCCAGCCAGTGCATGTGAGACAATATCGCTGACGTCAGCAACACAGAGGGAGGGACGACATATGACATACGGAAATGTAGTGAACAGCAAGGCGGATACACGCGCACTCCTTCCAAACACACGACTGAGGACACATGTACGTGCTGCAACAGAGAAACAGACAAACACAGCCACAACACAGGCATATTCACGCACACACGCATACACACAGACAAACACAGCCACAACACACGCATACACACGCATACGCATACGCATTCGCACGCACGCACAGCCATGGGACGAAGA